ACTGTTAAAGTTATAAATGTGGATTCCATTTACATGTACAATGTACATGTACACTGTACCTTCTCCATTGCCTTCTGCTATCACAACTACTTTGACAACTGAAGTGATCTAAAAATTAATCTTAGAAGCATTGAAATGGGCCTGAATTTGCTTCATTTTTCATGAAATTCAAAAGGGTGCATTTGACCAAACCATTAGGACAATGAGTCAATGCAGACAGATGGTTCGCTGTTTTCATGGGCTGCTGAGCACTCAGGCTGGGGGAGAAGGGAGCCCAGGTAGCAGCACTAATGAGTAACGGGGGAATGGCAGATAGACCACTGCAGCTCTTGATAATATGGTCCAAGAGTCTGTGCAAATATGTACTTCATGCTAGCAGCACAACGCACCTGGCCATAGCAAGAAGGGTCTGAGCCCGGCCCACTGTCCTGACAGTGGAATTCCTCTTATCACAATGGTGGGAATCCGTACCACCTTTATTCACAGGATCCTGACTGGTACATGGAGTACAAGCAAAACCACACAGGGGGCATTCTTTCATCGAAAAATGTCCGACAGGAATACGTGAAATTTCAATGCGTAACCTCATTTCTACAGAGAGGAATGACTCAGGCATTTGCAGGTTGCTGATGTTTTAAACATATGCCTCTGAAGAGAAAGTATTTGAGAGGATTCTGTCTTACTGTGTGTGGTAATGCAATAAGATACAATGTACATGTGCATATAGGTACAGGTAGGGCTTAAAATGAATCAGAGTGTATCCTCTTTCCAGATAATATCAAACAGACTCAGTCATTCTGATAAATTGCAATCCTCTGACATCAGCCGTTGTGCGAAAAACACCCTTATTTGCCGAACACCCGTAAGTTAACATGCCGTACGTAGTTTATTATTACATGTAGCTTTTCAACATTTTCCGGAGTTTACATAACTTCCCTTGTGCAGAATATTAAATTGCACTCTTGAATTTCCATTGGTGTCACTATAAATACTGTGCCTGTACATTGGAATGGATGGACAATGTGAATGTTAATTTTCTTCTGCTAATAAAACATGCTTCAACTTACTTTAGCAGGTGATTACATGCACCGGTATACGTGTACATGTCATAGCACATTGGCTATTAAATTGAAAGTCCTCAAACACAAAATGCAAATTCAACAAACTGGACTTTAATCGTACCGCTATGCAAAATAAACAATTTAAATGCTGACTAACAGTCAGCCAAAAATATCCTTCAGAAAAACAAATGAAAACACAAGACTGACCACGGCCTCCTTTCACATTTTCTCTGAGAATTCTACATGTACATTTGTTGGGTCAAGCTGGCCAGGAACTACTGCGACCAAAGAGAGAATTGACCGCTGCTGCTCTTGCCATGCTTGTGCAGTTTGGTGGGCTGGCATTTGAGCCACTGAACTCCTGCCGGGTGAAGAGACTCAACAGATATTGTCAAAACCTCCAACTGCTAAAACCTTACAGAGAAAAAACAAAACAGAACAAGCTAATAACTGAAGACACTCTCAGTTGATTTCTTACTCTTTTGTGTATTTAACCAAAATACAAAGAGAAAAGTGAGTGGATAATATCTCCAGGGCCACCAGTTATCTGTGTCTTCAGTACCTGAAGTCTGAATCCACATCAGTACTCTTGCCATATTTGGATTTTTTTTAATATGCTATTCATAACATACACGTATGGCGTACCCAGGATTGTGGCTATCTCTACGTGTACATGTACATATAAAGGCTACATGTATTTCACTGCCTCTAGGCTCTAGGAAATGCAGCGAACCAGAGCGTTCAAATCTTTTTTGCCAACAACAGCACAGTCTTGGGGTATCCTATTTACTTTATAAACAGTGGGGATACTGTATGGTTCATCACTGTCTGAACTGTCTTTGAGTGATCACAGGATCAACAGAACCAAGCCAATCTGAAGGTAATATAATATCATTTATACCACAAGGCTGTCAAAGATGATTGCCAGCCTTAAAGCAGGGAGGATCCCTTGGAAGGGAGAGCAGTCTCAAAAGGCCAAATAATAGCAGGGGGATGAAATATCCACTGTCCTGGCTGAAGGTTGTATTTCACTGCCTGAGGGAATTGATCTGACGATTTCCTATAGTCTGGAGGTCGTTCCACAGTATGGGACGCTTGCAGTCAAGGCACTCAATGTGTCAAACAGGTCAGTCTAGACAGCAGACCATACAGATAGAGAATCTCACTGTTTATATTTGGTCATGTAGGTGCATGCAAACATGTACCTTTTCCATAACCAATGCAAGTTGCACACACTGTGCATGGTACTCATAATTAGAGGGCGGCCCTTCCCATTGAAGGATTCTTCTTCAAACTCCCTCCTAACATTCAACCATTCTTTGCACAATTAATGATTAGGCCAAAGCCTCAGAAGGGCTCTACAGGAAGTCAGACATCTACATGTACCTTATCTGACACCCCTTGGTGCCAAATGTCCAAGAAGGACTGTAGACAGAGGCGACGCGCATGTAACTGTAAAGGAGTCTGGCAAATGACAAACAGAGGGAGGATGGTTCAGCCTGAGGTCAGCCTGACCACAAAAAAATGTGGGCTTCAGAGTGCACACCGGTTCACGTTTCAGCAACGCTGATTGGGCATCTACTCCAGAGAAGAATATTTAGTAGCAGGAAACAGTGGTTTCAGCCTCAGGATGATTTCTGGTGACCTTTGGATGGCTGTCACGGACAAAAGGGCTAAATCACGAGACCAGAGATTGAACAGATATTTGTCAGCCTGATCACATAATAACTACCAGGTATGTTAAATTTTCGATCTGACTCAATGAAGCACCAATCAGTCCATAACTGCACTGTTCAAGAAAAGGTCTTATTTCCTCCTGTGCTGCAAATATATTTTCAAAGTAAACCGAAACCTCGTGAAAGTACACAAACACATGCAATGGTCACACTGTACCAGTTTCGTTACTGTACAGTATTTACAGACTCGCCCATTCTCCTTCACACTGGCTGACTTTGCGCTACACATGCATGTACAATTATGTAAAGTACATATAACACTAGAACTACATGTATAAAATTATGACTTTATCCCACTATTATTTACATTCGTAAGCACACAGGGAGTTCGGGAAAACCTAAAAGCAAATGCATCTTTACATGTGTAATAAACAATTTACATGTACAATTACTGTCAAAACAATGCTTACTAATATATTTTACATGTACAATTACTGTCAAAACAATGCTTACTAATATAAAATGTTTATTAAACATGTAAAGATGCATTTGCTTTCAGGTTTCCAGAACTCCCTTGTGCACATGAACGTAAATGGTACATGTACATGATATATGTTTTTACATCTTTTATGATAGCTGATTTTGCACTGAACCCTTAATTGTGATCCACAACTTTTGAATTTATATGAACACTTGTTATCTCGTTCCATGTCCATTTAAAAGAATAATGCCAATGTTGAAACTATTACCAGCCATTCCAGTGACGTTTTTACAGCCATCTAACATATTCCACATGAAAAGTGCTTGTACAGTATGGGCTATCAAATACATTAATGTTCATGCTGAACACTTGATTTCTCATGATTTCATCCATTCATGAAAAAACTCTGGAACAAGTACATACATGTACCAGTAACTGTTCCTGTACATGTATCTTGTTTAGATCTTTTTGTGAAAATACACAAAATGTGGGTGATAGATTTTAAGAATACCTTTCTCCAGACCTCATGGAAAATGCATCTACCGGTACATGTAGGCGCAGTTGCCATATCAAAAAGAGGTTATCATTGAAGACCTACATGTTGTCTGCACTTTCCAAACGCAATGACACTTTCTATTTACCAGTAGCCTACCAGTAAGTTAATAATACATGTCTATAAATTTACAAAATTTACATGTACCAAGTTACAATACCTTTCCCATTAAAATATTGTCAACAATAACAATTGACCGTTTCTCAAAATTAACCACTATCTTAAAAAAGGAACAAATGCAAACAATCAGTTTTTAAAAAAATCACTTTTCGTGTGAAATAATTTTGACTGACTTGAATATTTTTAAGGGGGCATGTCTGCCATAACCTTTTCTCCATTCCACCTCAAGCTAATGAAATCTGGAATAATGTTTCAATCTGTCCTTTTCACCCGTCATTATGATCTCAGTCTCTTTTTTTTTTATTGTGATAGAAGAAAATGAAAGATAACAGGCTTGGATGTTATAGCAACTGCCAAATGCATTGCAGTGGATTTCTCATTCCCAATCTGAATGTGCCTCGGCATTAGAGAGTATTCACTTTTAAAAATTTAGTCAAAATTTATGGATCAAATTAAGCTTGAATTAGGCCTAGTAAAGGAAAGAGTTCCATAAAATGATTTACAGACATCACCTGACACCCTCTGCACCATGAGCCAAGTCTGAAAAATTCTAAGTGTTTTCTTAATTAATGAATGATTCAATATTTTCACTGTTAAATTTGATTTTGAGGAATGATAATCACTTTCTGATGGCTTATGTAAGTTATAAACCACTGCAAGGGAAAATAAAAGATGTGCTTAAAAGTTACAGTCCCCCCCCAAAAAAAAGCAGAAACTGTGGATGGTGAGGAAAGAAATGTCACTAGGTCACAGTACATGTTGCCATTTTTACAACTTGTTCAGGTTTGAAGTTGTTGGTGGGGGAAGCAGAATCCGATTATCTGACCGTAAGAACATGACAAAATGTGCAAGGAAGCAGCACCTTAACGAACGTTTCGATACCATCTGTAGTACGCAACACTCTCCTCAAAGCACCGCTCACTGACCGCATAAAAGCGTACGCGTGTAGGCCCTACGTGGGTTGTGGGCCGGGTTTAGCCGGCAGTGCGCCGTAGACGGCGTAGACCTACATGTACATGTACATGTATGTACGGGACCGGTCATACACGGATGTCTACACAATTACCGTATAGCAGTACCAGTAAGCTACATCATGTACCGGTACGTACCTTTCACTTGTGAATCAAATTCCTGTAGAATTTCCTTCTCTTGCCTTCTATCTGCTCCAGACATGTTCGCGTAAATGTAATATTCCTTCCACAACCTTCATTACGTGAAAAAGAAGCCTTGTATTAACTGCCACGAAGATTAAACTTTAGTTGAACTGGACGGGGACTTAAGAAGTCGAACGATCGGCCGCCATTTTGCTCAATCGAGGAAATACTCGCGCAACTGGAAGGCCTTCTGGGAAAAATCCTTTTGTAGTACCGAGTGCGTTGATTGGCCAGTGCCGTGGAGGTGACGTTATGCTCTGATAAATGAACCAGTCAAAACTGTTGTTGCTCCCAAGGTCACAAACGTGCGTAAATAATCATCAGCAGCTGGAAGAACGGGCATTTAAATTTGCTACAGGCTGGAGTCAGCGAATACTGTATTTGTAGACCATTGTGATTTCCTTGAATTTGAAGAAAATAAATCTTCATTATGCACCCGAGCTTCAGGAAGAAGCATGTTATCATACTTCAGTGCCGTTTTTGTGAATCTTACGTGTGTAGAAGAGGAATGAAGGCTGTTTTGTTGGCTGACACGGCTGTAGAATTGTACTCAACGGACGCACCAATACCTGGGTAGGACATTTTGAAAATGACATTAAAAGGTTCCTCATTGAGTTTCCTTGTTTTCGGCTGTACATATTTATACGTTTACAGTGATTACTTATAAAATATAAGTTTGCTGTCATTATAATAGGATATTTGGGCATTATTTACAGTTGTATTACAACTTAATACAAGTAAATTTACAGTCAATGTCCTCAGTCATCATGCCAGTCACTGTCCATGTTGTTGATCGTGTATAAATGTAATTGATTTCAACTTTCAAGTTTAATGTTTTAGATGGATTATAATCATACTGATGATCACATTGCTGTTGTCAAGCATATAATGCAGGCGAATTACAACCCACATATGTATTTGAAGGCCTCCCCATTTCATTCAATTAATTTACCATGTTACAATTTAGGTTAGTATTTATGATTTTTTTCAGCATTCAAGGAACTTGTAGTGCATTTGTTTTACAACCTAGGCCCAGATTGCAAAGATTGGCTCCAATTGCTGATGGTTAATAGGCTTTGATGAGATGAGAACCATAGGAAATGGAGAAATCATGGAAGTGCTTGCGAAGGGGTGGTGACTCATTTTCTGGAGGGGGAGGGGTATTCCAAAACAGAACTTTTTTCTATTCCGAATTTAGAAGGGTAGATAAACATGGGTACTTTTTTCATGATTCTATTATTATTGTTTATGTATATCAGTACATGTATGTAAATGAGAATGTCCAATCAAAACAATCACTTTTAGTTGAGGTAAGAATTTAGTGGTAACTTATTCTTACAAATATACCTTCTATCTCTCTTTGAGCAGTATTGCTTTTTTGAGTAATAAGAAAGTGTTTCGTACACTGGTACACTGTTATCACTAGTTTACTCCTGCAGTGGTTTATCACCCATCAGAAAGTTGTAAAAAAATGTCAAATTTAGCAAGGAAAATATTGAAGCATTTACTTGGAAAACACTAGGAATTTTTCAGACCAGTCATAGCGGTTTTGTGTACAGGGTGTCAAGTGATGTCCGTGTATTGAACTTTTTGCTGAGTTACGCTCTCAAACCAAGAAAAATGGACAATAATTAATGAGTGTCCCACTTTTTCCCAAACAGCAAAGTCAGCAGTGTCGGTAAAAGTTATTCAACCAAAAAGTGCACCTGCAAAATATGTGATGTTGCCTGTACGAGTTGGTGAGTACTTATAAATGAAGAATTATATGAATACTTCTGCTTGTGTTTCTGTAAAGGTTGTATTTACATGTACCTGTCAATTTTGGGTGCATGCTTTCAGCATCAAATCAATTTCACAGTGCTGTGGCTCTACTCATCCCAACATATTCAGTCAACTCTTGAGATAAAGTGCACATTACTGGGGTTCGCATTCTCTTGAATTCTTTTGTCTATTTCCAGTCATTCGTTAACAAGATTCTGGTTATAGCAAGCAACGGAAGTAATTTGTCTGGTCTTAGTGACATCCCTACGATGAGAGTTGATTGTGCATATCAGTATAGATCGTGGGGGGGAGGCAGAACTTTGCTGCTCACATCATTTTGCAAGCATTTTCACCCGAGGTTTGAGCAACTAGAATATTAATGGTCTGTTTTATTCTCTTCTCACAAAGTGGTAATGTTTTAGGGTACCACGTCATGTTGCCTTGTGCGTCCTGCCTTCAGTCGTGCAACAACGGACACCTGTGGATCTTCAACAGCAACACAGTGTGGGCAGAGAGCAGGCTAAACCGGACAGGTATTGAACACTTTTGTGCCCACAGTGTACAGTATTCCCTTTTGGCCTGGTAGAATTTAAACTCCTACCTGCAGGATCTGTCAAAGTCCAGCACAGGATTTTGCACATTTGCAGGATTTTTGCCGAGCATCGTTGTATAGTACAGAGCACCACTTGGACATTGACGAAACTTCTGAGCTTTGCAGGTTATGAAGAACCGAGGAAGTCTCTCAAATTTTCATTAATTCATGGTCAAAACCAAAGTAGGAACGAGTATGATGTTTCCTCAAATGTTTCATTGTTTATTGCTTGCCTCAAATCAAAAGGTATAGCAACAGAGTCTTTAGTGCGAAGAATTCAAATTACGTGTATGTTCACGTGAATTTAAAGAACACGGTGTACCAGATTTTATTCCAATTTAACTCGCAAAAGGCTCATTGCGGATTTCTTCAACGAAAATGTGATTACACTTTGGAAAAGGCAGTTACCTGACCAACAGCAAATGTTAGCCAAATCTGATTTCGCAACTTGGAAATCCCCAGTTTTACGAGAGTAGGCATTCCCCAGTCATGGCGTATGAAAGATAGAAGTAATGTTGCGCACTGTGTCGTTCCCCCCCAGCCACAGAGATGCTGAAATGGGACAGCCTGCCCGATGCTGCGTCGGAGCAAGACTCGGAACACGACGAGTGGGACAACTACTTCCAAGAGATGGAGTGCTGTCGATGACGAAAGATATCAAGTTCCATTCTCTTTTTTGTCTCCTGCTAACTTTGATAGGTTCTGGAAGAAAGTAATGATTGCTATACAGGCTCAGACGATGTTCGTTCTAAATAAAACGTCCTTTACTGAGCCCGGAATATATTGTGGTTATTGTAAAGATTGCCGAAAGTCCTCAATGTTTTATATGTAGATTTGGTTAAGCTAATCCCTTCTCTGTCAATTGCGTGAGGGGTTCTCGTGCACAAGGCTTGCAAACAACCCCAATAATAAATCTGTTATACGAGGTCACTGTTACTGGTGTATGTTTTCTTTTTAGTTGTCAGGAGAGCTCTGTATGGACATGTACTCGAATTTCTAGGGGATTAACATGATTTACTTAGCAAGAAAATTAATTTTTTTTTTTTAAAAAGCAACTCAGTTTTATGAAGGAAAAGTCAAATCAGAGAATCAACTTTTAAAGGCCGTTTGCCATTGTTTTTCGGCAGATTTTGTAATGATTGTGAAAATTTTGCATTGAATTTGTTTCCTCCACTTACCGTGTGTTAAAAAGTTTCACGTCTTAGTTGTAATTTTTTTACAATTTTCTTAAGCCTAAATTAAGAATCTTATGCTTCATATTACTCACTTGTCCACGATTATTGAGCAGGGTCTTTCTGACACATTTCTTTTTGTACTGAGCCAAACTAAAGTAGCCATTTTGTAGCTTTTTTCAAAATCAGATCATCCTCTTCACAGGTTATCATTTTCTTAAGCTCTGTAAATAGGCTTTTTTTTAAAATAAAATGGAACAGTGGTACATGTACACAGATTGAGGGAAACTTAAGCAATGGCAGATCCAAAAATACCTATACCAGAAACCCAAATATGAAATTTATGTTTGCATTTGTTCTGTTACTCTTAGGTTGCTTGGTTAAAGCCTGGCTTCTACATGGTCATTTGTAACGCAGATGGTCCGCAAGATGTGAAGATGCAGACATTTGTGGAAGAAGCGCTGCACAATGTCATTCCACCAAAAAAATTTAAACAAAATGGTGTCTGAAATTGGGAAAATTTTAAAAAATGCCCTTTTCTGACGGCAATGTTACGTCTTGAAGCCAAACTGATTAAACTGATCCAGTTAGATGTAATTTGTTAATGGTTAGTTATTTTGACGACGATTGGGGCTGCCCATGTTAGCAATAAGGATAAAATGAGTGGTACTAAGCAAGAGAAACATCGTACGCCTGTCATGCCAGCGTGCGTGTTGTATAAGCCCACTCAGCAACTCGACGCAGACAGTCAGCAAAGTTGAACCTTGCTCAACTTTACCGATCGTTCACGGGCAAGTTTGCGTTGTGAGCGACACCCCCGTTTGACATGTTTCCATATATCTGCGTTTCAGTTTGCATCTTGATTGCATTGCTCTCTGCGTTTCTTACGTCGACATGTAAACCAGGCTTAATACTTGCAGTGAAATCTGTCGCTTTGTAATTAAAAAGCATAATACATGTATCTCTGTTTGGGGTCAGGCGTAAATCCTGGAGCATGGCTTACCATAAAATAGAGGATACTAGTCTTGTAGGAACTAACAAATTTGTGGACAAAAAAAGATGTGGAAAAAGTGTAACATTTACATGTACAAAGAAGAGAACCATTTCTGGGGAAAAGAGGTAATTTTGCTACCCTTTTGCTTGCTAGTAAAGTCCCAGAGTGCAAAAATTATTTAAAACAGGACATGGGCAAGTGCACAGTGTAATATAGTTGAAGATGCACTGATTCATATTTTAATCCCACTTCTGCACTTTTTTAAGGAGTAACTTATTAGTTTGTTTTTTTTTAATGTAAATGAGGTACACAGAGAGTGAGTGGTACAGCGTTCAAAAAAAATATATGTATAGGATTCATGTAAAGTGGAAAATTTACGAATTGGTTCTGCTCTAATATGAGGAGATGCCGTTACTGCGGCAGTGCCGTGGTACCAACCTCCTTTATGCATTCTCAAACTTGTGGGTCATATTCAGGTAAAAACAGGTCACATCACCCTGTTGGCCCAAAACGCACAAAGCACTTGTGTGACACCTGCTTGGAACTGCCGGAGTAGTCGATGAAAGAGGGGGAATTGATTCAGAGATTGGTCCTCGGGTAACATAACTCCAATATTGTCTTGTCACTTTACAAAGACACGTGACCACCAGTTCCTTACTTCTAGTGGCTCAGTTTGCAAGCCGTTAAAAGAATGTTTTGATACTTGTGCAATATCACTGTATTTCTATTTTTTGGCACAAATTAAAAGGGACAGAAACCAACTTGACGAACAATAAGGAAATTTAACTAATACGAAGGTTTAAAGGGCCATTCACTCGAACGATTTTGTAAAAACAGCATAGCTTGTTAGTCATTGCTGTAAAAAGTTTAATCTACAGTTAAGTGTAAATGACTGCCTAAAATAGCTTGTATGACAAATGTTTGCCTCTTAGGCAAATTTTGATGTTGCATAAAATGGCTTCGTGAACTTGCACAGGAAAAAAAAATTAAAGCAGTTATAAGTAGTTCCTTCCATACATATATGCCCTAGCTATTTTTCAGTAAATTAACATGTTCTTGGAAAATAATAAATACAATTTTATGTAAAAAGATGAACTTGTACTCCAAATTCATGTAGGGAAAAAGCTCCCATGTATGGTTTTCAAAAACTCTTGCTTCAGTTCGGCACGGAAGTTTTTGTACCACTTCAGCAGGTCTTCTCTTCGTTTGGATATCTCCTGTGGGGTTTTCCTGGACTCCTTGTCCAAAATCTTGGGCAGCTGGTTCCAGTCCCTGACGAAGATGAAGGGCGCCCGGTATTGTTTCAGAAGGCGAAGTGGCTTGCTTGCACAGGTCCCAGGGGTTTTCATGTCTTCTATGACGGGGACAGACCCGTATGAGCACGCCTCATAGATGCGGTAGCTCTCGGTGTTCATGCCGACAGGGTTTAACGTCAGGTCGCTCTGCGCAAGGATTCTCTCGTACGCGAGTCTGGTCTCTTCTGTTTCAGAGGGCATCCAACTGACCAAAAAGAGATCAGAACTTTTCATGCTGGTCAAAAAATTCAGAAATGCTTGGGATTTTTTTTTTCAAGTGATGGCAGGAGGAGAATGCCTAGCATTGTGGTCAAGACCATTGCAAGACCCCACATCACAAGATCTCCATTCTGAATTCAAGTCACAAACTACCCACATGAACTGTAACAATAACATTCCTTTGTCACCGTTCACCATGTTGATATTTGTGAGTGGCCTTGTGAAAGGTCTTGAGAATTGTCTCGATCTTGTGTGAGGTCTTGTGATGGTCCCGACTGGAGCAGTGCCTGTGGTCCTAGAAATATTAATCCTCATGAGGACTCTTACGGTCTTGCATTCGACTTGTGAATTCTTTTTTTAAAACCAATAGGTGGTTTAGTTGTACACTAAACCTGCTGGCAGATCTCTGATTTCTACTTAAATTTGGAAGCCATGGACTTGCACGCCGGTAAAATTTTGTGTCCTAGCACGGAACAAGCGGCTGGACTTGAGTTGAACTCCAGAAGACACAAGGGTCTCCCAAGTCTTTCATCTTACCTTCCGCGGGTTTTCACGTAGCAGTAGTCGCCCAGGTTGTGCTTCTCAATCACGCGTAACAACGTCTCCCTTGACGAATTCGGATAAATAGTGCCCATGAAATTACAGCGGTACGGGCGACTGGCCCTTGGGTTCAACTTGGCAGAATCCACAACGGGAAAGCCACGATACCTGCCAAATGGATTTGAAACGAACTGGTTAACTTACAGGTGGATTCAACCCAACTAGACAGTTGATGCAACCGAGTCTGCTCCCTGACTGACGAGACATTGGAGCTAGTAAACAGCTAGTCATGGGTTCAAATACATGTACTCTCAAATCTTGAAATAAACTGGTTCTCAGAACTCAGCGATTTGATTTCTTGTGTTGTCCATCTGCTAGTTGGCTACTCAAATGTCCCTCAGAACATTTTTGTGTCAGCTTAGAGGTTATAACAATCCAGTCATGCATTTTATTTTCAGCGGCAGAATATTATGCCATAGTAGTTCACTCTTCAAAGCCTAAAACAGAAAACAAGCCCAGTATTCCATAAGTGGGGCCGCGACTAACAGATGTGCACACAGTACATATGTGAGCATGTGGGTGCTGGAAGGACGAGATTTCCGACACACTTACGTGGCCACTCCAAGAGGCCACTGGTAGATCTCTGCATCGTCAACACGGAGGGTGTCATACACGACAAACAAAAACCTCAGCGGTCCTCCGCGCGACGCCATGTACGGCAGCACCCACTCGTTGTCACACTGCTCGCTGCCGATCAGCATCAGGGCCACGTCGCGCAGCCGGGGAAATGCATCCAGGTAGTCCAGCCACGTGCGGGCAAATTCCGCCTTGTCCGGCGCCCTCCCATTGAGGACGAGCAGCAGGTTCTCCACCTCGGTGGGGACCTTGTCAGGGACCACCCCAGGTCCCATTCTGAACCTGTGGGAAAGACATGAATCAGGTGGTGAGAACAAACCGCCTCAGACCGTAGTGCCGTCCAAAGCAGTGGATTCAATAAATAAATGCTCAGGAGCCCAGTAGAATCATTCAAGAACATTACTTACAGTCCTTCAATAACAAAACATAACAAGTCGCAGAGAACACCAGTCTTACGTGAATGTGACGTTCCCTTCTGTCTTCCGTCCATAGCTCCAGACACCTCCCAGACGGGGCTCCAGCGACGCCCCCAAGATATGTTCCCAGGTGTACTGACCTTGACAATTAACAAGGAGTATCACATCACAGATGCTCAGGTACAAGAAAATTGACTGTGCAAACAAATCTCCCCCAATTATTCCTCTCACATGTTGCAAATTGAAGGGAACTTTGAAGACAAACTTTTTTGTGGGGGCCAGGGGGAAGTCTGATGAGCGTGTCAAAAATGAAATGAAAACCAAAGTAGTTAACAAGATTGTGGCAATGAAGCACCTGCTCTACAAGTGAAAAGGAAAAACAAAAATAGGCATGTTTCTAGTCGCCTGACATAATCTAAAAAATCACCCCAAATCTGCATCTTTTTATAAAAATTAAATTAGAAATGCCTGCCTAATTTTTTTCTATATGTCCTGAGTGTTGAAAACTTGGCTCGCTTTGGGGGTGTGTATCGACAACCAACTGCTTTCTGCATGCAGAAATTCTTTAGCCACTTGTAGATCAATTCGCTGACGCCATTACTTGCGGTGTCCCCGTCATTCGGACAGGCATTCCTAAACTTGACGAGCGCGTAATTTTGGTTAGCAGTGCACTCCCAATCCCACTGGCTGATGAGGAAGCATTCAATAAGCATCTCTTTTGTTGACGCGCGTGGGCACACCACAGTAAAGGCTCCTGATTCTTGTCACAGAATCGGTCTATATCCATTAACAATGCTGATAGCCTTTAACGTCCTTGTCACTTGTTAACACTTACAAAAATTGACTTGCCATCATCCCACATTCACATTTTTTGGCTAAACAACTAGAGCTAAACAGGGGGGTGTCACCTACTTACTTGCCCTTATTTTTAATTCAGAGTAATGGGAAATGCAGGGCTTTTTTTAGGGGGGGGGAGCCTGATGTATCTCATAAGTTAGTTTTGCCGCACGGTGACCCTGGTGTATGCTGTCAGCTAAGACACTGCTTTATGCCTGAACCATGTTCACCCTTTTAGGCCCAGTATAAAAATCAATATACATTTATCATCTGGGGTTTTGATGTGGAAAGCGACTGACAAAGTCTTAGAACGGTTAGAGTTCCAACTAACAAGTATTTTGTTTTTAGATGGAATTGTTGCCTTTTTCCACATCGTTCTTTCCTGTTCGTAAAAATTAAGGGCCTCATTCAAAAAGTATTAAAGTGGTTGCGGACACTAAACAAGTTTTTTTTTACTTAGCCTTACTTTCATCACATTCATGGCAATCTTGAGAGATCACCGTGCAACAACTGATACACTCACGCACCTACTCCGGCTCTGCTCCAAATTTCTACGGCGTTTTCTTCTTTCAAGCTAGGGTTAACACCCTCATTTTGATTGTCTTGAGTTTCTCTCTGGTTCTGCTGTGCCACTGTCTCTGTTGCAGGTTGTAGTCTGTGATGGCTGGCAGGTTCAGATGCCACTTGTCTCTCATAACTATGACCTTGATTTATAACGAAGTGAAAAACTGCAATGCTGTTTTGTCAGCAAGAAAAATTACGCCTACGTTACGTAGAAGGAAAAGAGGTTGAACCAAAGTTTACTTCAATTCGAAGTTCAAACACGTCATATGGCTGCTTCAAGTTCAGGTGTGGGACAGGTAGGACAGGGGTTTGCAATATAAACTTGAGTCGAATATCCCCCCCCCGACTTAACAACAGTGGTGAAATTAGGCCTTAATACATGTACTGAATGTAGCCTGTACATGTAGGCCTACCCGCCGCCTAGCCTAATTTGTGCAGATTGACCGACAAACAAAATACTGGAAAATAACCAGACCTTTTCTGTTGCTTTTTGCCGAACGGTTGGAATCACCGACTCTCTGAGAGAGCAAAAGATACCCACCATAGCAAGTTAAGAGGAGGTACACACTTAAAATTAACCAAGAAAGTTTCTTCAAATTTAACCGCGGTCTCATTCTGTTCCATCATGCCCACGGCCCGGCAAAAGATACCTACAGGCCGGCAATAGCGGGCGCCAGAGCGTAACCTTACGGTGGGTTTTTGTCACATCTGCTTAGGATCGGTATTTTATGGCTACAGCTTTCGTTTTTGCCATATGCTGCATCCGAATCTTAGAGCTAGGTCTAGGTCTTCATTCGCGGAGACAAGCACACAATGGGCTAGCCGTAGCTGTGGAAGACTGTTTTGGACACGGTCTTACAAGCTACATACTTAACAGTCGCAGCCGTAGGACCAATGGGACACGACCTCAATAATGCATGATTTATGAACACAAGAGGGCGCACTACTGTAGGCTTCTTGACACGCTTGACGGGAAGTTAACTTTAGTTTTAGTCAGATTATTGATTTTATTCTGATTTTAAGCGGAAATTCTCCAAAATGACGGAGTACAAGGGTGCAGCAAGTGAGGCAGGCCGTGCACTGCAACTCATTAAGAAGAGGGACAAGCAGAAAGAAAATATGGAAAAACTGAAACAAAAAATCGAACAGGTGAAGACTGCTGAATGTGCTACATTAAGCCATGTTCTGTCTATTTCCGACATAGCATTAACATGCTGTTACTCCAGGGAAATGGGAATACTGAACAGAATGGAAAGTTATGTACACAGACATCACTTGACACCTTATGCACAATCCCCATGAAACTTGTCTGAAAAGTTCGAAAAGTTTTCAAAGTAGGCCTAGACCTAAGTACTTCAAATATTTTCCCCGGCTGCATTTTACATGTTATAGGACATTATATAACATGTATAATCAGGTCGGGGACCAAACCAGAAACTGGCGGTGACGCCAGACTAGGCATACGCCGCTCGTTTGTGCAACAATGATGTAATTTTTAACTATTTTTAGATCACGGTTCGCAGATGACTTTGATCTCTTTATCGGCCAAAAACTTCAAAACTAGTTCCTCTGATTGATCAAATTCACAGAAAACATGTTCTAAATCAGATTTTGTTTTTTGGGGCTCATTCTTCCACCTCCCTCCCTCATAGAGGCAGAGTGGTGAGTCCTACACCGTAGCTCTCTTGAATATTCATGGTCAATAGAGGATGTCTGTCTCAGAGTGACACTTTTTACTGAAAAAAAAACCTGCATACTACATATGGCACTTTGACAAATGTATGGTTGTAAGACCCCAAATAAACAATGTAAATAAAGAAATGAACAGATGTTAATTTCGGATTGCTTTCCTGAAGGAAAATCTCAGCAAGGTGGCACCAATCAGCGCTAAGTTCACCGCGCATTATGACGCTGTGGAGCAACAGCTCAAGAGTAGTACTATAGGTGAGGAGACTTGCTCTAAAGAGTCACCCCCCCCAAAAAAAATCAGCCTCTCTGTTGTACACATGTAACTCTCTTTGTTTTTAATGCTACATTAATGTATGACCCATAAGAAACGCTGAATGCCTCTTTCCCACCTTCAAATCAGCATAAAAGACGGAGCCTACTACAAGTACCATAGTTTAGTATCAAGTTGAAAAGAACTCTTTGTACACGTGTACAGTCAATATTTGCGGGGAAGCCGATGTGGAAAGCCACACGAGTGGTACAGTCATAAGTGGAATTTTTTCAATTACCTTTTGGTATTTTTACAAAATTGAGTGAGACATTTTTGCATGAGCAGGTAACGGAGGTTACGATGTATGTGCCGCGAGATGTTATGGTCAATCCATATTTTGCCAGTGGTAGGTTGTCGGAATATGAACAGCAACAATCCTGAGTGGAGACATTTGCAATAACTGAAGAGATCCTTAACCATGGGGCGTTTTGCCAGAAACCTGTCCTGGAAGCCAGGGGCACATTCTGTGCACCCACATAGCTTTCAATGGTCATCAAGCACCCGTATGAAAACAGTCTTTGCAAGAATCCCTGTTCAGTCCACCAAAATTCCCTCTTATTCACGCTGTTGAATCTTGTCAAGTCCTGTGACCATAATGCACAGTACAGAACATTAATCTTGTTCTTTCCGTTTCATCGCTCAAAGGCTTCACTTGGAGTGTCTTTGTTTTCCATCAAACAGGTTTGGTCACATTGGATGAAATGAAAGCGCGGAGGGAAGTTCTTGTCCAAGAACATGAGAAGGAACTCGCCAAGGCCTCCAGCTCCCAAGAGAAAGTGTAAGCACTGTCATCCTCACTGCTACAAAAGAAATTTCAGAATTAGAACATATATCTCTGGCCATCCATTTTAAGCGTAGTTCTTTGTCCTTGGAAGGAGGACTTCACAATCCTTAGAATCCAAATTTGTGCAGAAAACAAATAGGAGTCATTCACCACACTGCTGAGCTGTTGTTAGAGGGCCTCAAATCAATGGATGCATGCTGCGCTATGGGAAAAGGTTGATATCACCTAAGTCCATTATAGAGTGATCACACACGGCTCTATAGCATTGCACCTTGTCCACACTTTCCCAGCTAAAGCTCGTAACATTCCCCTGTGTGTCACTGCACGGCATGCCCTGGTTATTTCAAGATTTCTTGCTGTTTGTCAGCTTGCATTGATCTCACTTGCTGGCCGTCCTCGGAGTGCTGTAGCCGGTGTGAAATCCTGTGCAGTTAACCATATTAGCTGCGAAATGGAGGAAGAGCTGTCTTGGGATAAACGGGGGAAAGGGGGGGGCGTGCAAACACGGTCCTGTGAATCAATCCCACAGTCCAAAGACAGCACTTCTCTTGTGAGCAGTAGCACCTAGGCAGTACGGTTCTTGTTTCATCAGGCGGCACTAAGTATTCAAGCAGTCACAATTCCCCAAGAAATGGACCGATTTCTTGTCGCGTTACAGAGAGAAGGAGAAGAGGAAAAAGAAGAAAAAAGAAAAAGTCACGAGTACGCTCTCCTTCAACCTCGATGAAGATGGAGAGGAGAACGATGAGGACGAACCTGGTAGGTGCTTGTTTGCCACATTGCATTAGTTCTGTCCTTGTCTCGAGTCTCTTCCTTAAATGCTTCGTCCTCTACCCACCCCCCTTCTTTTTTGTAATCAGAACCTGAGCCAGTGGTCAAGAAGAAGAAACTGGGCAAGAATCCTGACGTGGACACCAGCTTTCTACCGGACAGAGAAAGAGAGGTCAGGGGACATTTATGCGGTTTTTCTTCGAGCATCCGAACGCAAAACACTAAAGAAACCCATTCGACTCTAGCTGCAGTATGTTTAAAAAAAAAAGAAGCTGTCAAGAAGCCTCGTCAAAGCTTATTGTTACTGATTTCAGATAATACACGGATATCTCTGTGGTCTCGTTTGGATAAGATTACTCCCTGTGATCTCAGAGAAAGACTAAAGATGTTTGCTGGCTTTTACAACGATCAATTTTTTCAGTTTGGAGATTTTTAAAAGCAATTGCAAAGAACATTCCATGCATTATGCAAAGTCAAACTCTGAGGGATTTTACTCATTTTCTTGTACTACGTGATTGACTTGAACAGGCAGAGCATTTGCAAATGTTTTCTCCACACAGGAAGAAGAGAACAGGGAGAGGGAAAAGTTGAGACAGGAATGGCAGGATAAACAGGAGATGATAAAAAGTAAGGCGTAGTGTTGTGACCGACAACAAAATTGGAGACTTTTGCAGTGCATCGTGAATAGCATCCGTGTGTTTAGCCATAACCCTGCCTGATGCAGCAAAGTGCAACAGGTGTTGATGTCTCACCAGACGGCGGCGGTACAAGCTGCTGGCCTTTGGAAAGTGGGAGGGAGTCCTTTTTACAAAATGGCCTCTGTTATATTTTGTGGTGGCTGTTGGCTTCAGGTTCAAGTCCGTTTTGCCTTGGGGATAGTTGACCTGTTGGATCCTGTTGCACTGGGCAGGCTTCATACGTGGACTGCCGTTGCATGCTGTCCATTCGGTTGAGTTTCTAGCCAATATCTTTTGAAGGGTTGGGTTAAAATTAAATCTTTACTGTTCTCAATACCTCATGTTTTTAATAAGATTTGGCAATAGTTAATTTCCCATTGTCAGATTTGAATGATTCAGCTTAGCTTTTCGGTCAAAATATTATTGAAATGAGGCTGAAGTTCCAAACTGTGTTTGCAAATTCGTTTACTACTTTAGGAATAAAGTCCTAGATCAGTAAAGATGTCGCAAAGGTGTCTGCAGACCTACAACCCTGATTATGTTTTGAGATCATTTTCACAAAGCAGCTGGTCAGAAAGTATTGCCCACGGAAGGTCTGTGCTAAGCACGATCTGCTGTGAACCAGTCACGATCTACAGTGTGTGACAGAGTAACTGGTAACCTGTTTCTTGCGGAGCAAATGATTTTGATGTTTAGCAAGCTTTTGTGTTCAGTCCATGAAGTCAGCCCCTGGTCTTTTGTAAATACTAGCACATTTTCACCAAAAGGAAAGATGGAATAAGCATTCAGTGTGAAGAAGAGAAATGGCAAAATCTCTAGCCATTTATTTCATTGCAGACGAGGACATTGAAATCACCTTCAGCTACTGGGACGGCTCTGGTCACAGACGGAGTGTCAAGGTAAATCCAAGCAGTCTGGTTCCTAGACTTGATAATGCTGATTACTTGTTGATAATCTGATTTGCTCTGACTAGAGGCACCCCCTCAGTGGCAAGGAAGAGACAGGCTGGTGGGAAGTTGATCAAGTGAGCTTGAGCGTGCACCAGGTGTGCTTGCGAATACCCTACAATTGGTCGCACATTGCTCAGCATGGCCTGTCCTGAGTGCGCATGAACCTGTCCACCCACACCGTGTTGCCCCACACCCTCGACCTCCCAACACACCCTCCCCGGGTCCTGGTTTCTTGGTCAGAGTGGATAGCCTGAAGAAGATTGAAACTGTCTCTATCCTCAGGGACAGCTGGCCCAAATTCTTCTTTTATTGAAAGTGGTAATTATGAGGAGGTCGCGGGGAAGATTTCACTGTGGTTGCCAGATGCCTGTTACAACAAAAAATTTTGATTGTAAAAGCTCTATTCTGCTGGTGATGGTTGGATAGTTCTCTTGAGGTGCGATCTTATTTGCTCTGTCATCCATTTCTTTCCTGGCCTATTTTTTGTTTTTCCCAGATGAAGAAAGGGGACACCATGCAGAGGTTTCTTCAGAAATGTCTTGAGATGCTCAAGAAAGATTTCCATGAATTAAAGTAAGATGCCAAATCAATCCAGTCATTTTTTTTTTCATTTTTCATTCATCTTTTGTGTTCTGCGTTCTCTTATTGCACGGTGACACCCTCTCCTTGCCAAGAGCTCCACATGCACTGTATCTGTTGGCCTTTTTTCTCCTTTTTTATGGTTGTTCATCAGATGTCATCTCTTTATATTTTTAAACCCCCAAATTATTTCGTTGGCAGGGCGGTCACAGTGGAGCAGATGATGTACATCAAGGAAGACTTAATTATACCCCATGTGAGTCAAATGTTACTTATTAAAAACCCTGGGAAAAACCTGTAGAAAAATCATCAGATCATATCCACAAAATCTTTCCGCCAGCGCCTGGATGACAGTCATGAGCTCGGTCGGTTGCAAATTATTAGTTTAAGTTAGTAATGTGGCATACAAATCAAACAGTATCTTCATAGCAGCTCTCAACTGTTTGTCTTTACTGAGCTTCCAGTAACATGTTCATTGAGATGATTTGTTTCTTGCCTTTGTTTAATTCACAGCATTATTCGTTCTACGATTTCATTGTCACAAAAGCCCGTGGAAAAAGTGGTAAGATCACATACGATATTGAGCCTTTTTTTGGTTTTAATACTCAGAGACGACACTGAGTACAAAGGCTTGAAATTTGTGTTTGTAAAAAGGGCCCATTTACACAGATTAGTGATAACGGAAAGCACTGATAGAAAGTGTGACATTTCACATTTACAAACAAGATGGAAATGTGCTCGTTTTGCACGTCATTAGGTTAACAGTAGCGCCTCTGTAGAAGAGGAAGCATTCAGCTATGCCAATCAGTATGTGATGTCATACCCAGGGAAACTGCCTATTGGCCAATCAGTATGTGATGTCATACCAAAGGAAGGTGCCTATTGGCCAATCAGTATGTGATTTCATACCCAAGGAAACTGGCCAGAATGTGCCTGGTATCTTTGACAAATCGCTCATGATGGTTAGGTTTCTCAATACAGTGGGTCATTTTTCTGAAGTTTGATATTTTTACTGCAACATCATGTACCACTCCCTGTCTAAGTAAAATGTGACAATTGTTAGAGTTGATGCCTCAGCTCAACCACATTGTGTCTGATCCTCTGTACTTCAATCTTGGGGGCTGCAAATAGGGATGATTACCTCCTCAATAAAATTATTAAAAAAAGTGCTGCAAGAGAAGAGCAAAGTTGGCTGTCCCCATTTGGTCAAGTTTTGAGATGCTCAAGGGACAAAATCTTGCCATAATATCCAGTCCATAACAGTCAGTTACTCCGTAAATGCTAACTTTCAGAAGTAAGAATGAAAAAGCAACGAGCAAGAATGTATCTTTGTCTTACCTAGGTCCACTCTTTAGCTTTGATGTCCACGACGACATCAGGCTGACAAACGACGCGTCTGTTGAGAAGGATGAGGTATGGTTGTGAAGGCTCGGGGGGGAGGTTCAAATCCTCCAGTCTGTGTACACCATGTTGGCCCCTGCCACCATACTGTGACTCGCACACACTGAACATGCTTGAGCTAGCTTGACCTTGGATGTTTTGCTTAGGAATGACCTTGCCTTTTTGAAATATCAGACTGACTCATTGATGGGTATATTACTTGGGAATATAGTGGCTAGATGGACTGATAGAAGGAATGTGGTCGTTTGTCTAAAGAAGCCAATGTAGAAAGGGGTCGGAAGATTATGGCTAGCTGATGATGTTAGTAAACAAAAACTGAGTAAAATGCCCCTAAACCGTTTCCTATATTCAATGATATTTTTCGGGGGGGGGGCAGCAGAGTGAGTGTGATCTTGCCTATCCAACTTGAGCAGAAGCACTCCCACATTGGTTGAAAAAAGCCACGTTGGTCGGGAGTGTTATTTTGCTGGTAGGGACGTGCCGGCATTGCTTGCATTTCCTAGTCATCTGTGAACCACTGCAGTTACGATCAAAGGAGCTGCTGTTGCTAGAATATTGGCGGCCTCTATTGGGCCAGCTCGGGGCTCATTGAAGAATAAATGGCCACATGATCACTTGAATTGCAGGTCTTTTCTTTAACCATGCCCTTTCAGTTAGATGGTTCACATACACTCCTCAGTTCTTGTCTATAATTCATGGCTGCAAGTGAACCGTTGCCCCAGAGAACCTGGCTCTATCATGATGGGCCTGCAGGACACTGACTGGTTGACCGAGTGGTATCAAAATGAACCATCCCTTGGCCAAATTTCAGTGTAACATTTCAGCGTCTCAGCTTCTGACCTTCTTGCCTTCCAGTCTCATGCAGGTAAGGTGGTGCTGAGGAGCTGGTTTGAACGCAACAAGCACATCTTCCCTGCCAGCCGCTGGGAGCCCTACGACCCAGAAAAGAAGTGGGACAAGTACACGGTGAGTCCAAATGCTTCCCTGCACCGATTTGGAGATCGAACTTTGTGTACACTGATTAAACGATTAAAAAATTGGATAAAAAGCAACTCAGATTCCGTGGGCTTTACTCACAAGATGGGCATTTTGGAATTAGGTTTCCCAAATCCACTTCATTTATTGAACACTCTAAAAAGGACTGGAGCCTGATTACTTTTGCTGTACTTCCAGCCTCACTCTAAGAAAAGCTTTTCATTTGGACAATAAAGAGCACATGACTTTTTATCCATCATTTGGACCTACCCATCAGAAGACACGGAAGGTTACTCAAACATTCACCTCTCCTGCATCATCTTCTCTCCCAAATGTTAATTTTTTGAAAAAAATTTTTTGAAAAAGGAGTTCCTCGCTTTTAATAAGCCATTTGCGAGTTGAATTTGAATAAAATCTGGTACACTGAGTTATTTAAATTCACGTGAACATAACAGCTTGAATTCTCCGTACTAAAAACCACTGCTGCTATACTTTGTGATTCGGGGCAAGCTTTTGCTTAGTTACATAAGAGACGCCTTGCAACAATACACTGTTCTCAATGGATGAGAATGGCACAAAGGAACCAGTCCAGTCCAGTGATGGTGGTCGCTATGCAAAAGCTTGCCCCGAATTACGAGGTATAGCAACAGTGTCTTTAGTCTGGGGAATTCAAATTGTTACGTTTCTGTGCAATCAGATAACACAGTGTACCAGATTTTATTCAAATTTAACTCTCGAGTGGCTTATTCAAGACAGCCGACCTGCAATTAAGGCCATTTAAAAACCTTGAATTCATTTTCAGGTTGTTTCTCACAATTTTACTCGCAGATCAAGTGAGCTGAGGATAAACGTAGGGACATTTCGGGATCTGGTCACCTTGCAGCATCCCCAGTGAAGACAAGTGTGTTTGGAAATTCAGTCTCAAGCATCTTCAGGAAGACATTAGTACATGGACCGACGTCTCTCTTCCTGATGTGGTCTACTACAAATGAAATGGAGGAGGTTCTCAACTTTTTTGAAGTGTAACTTCACATTTATGGACCCAGCCAAACTGGATATCTAGCTATTGAGAACCATTCCTGTTGGTGTCTTCATTCATGTCTTCAATACGTGTGCAGTTCTTGTCTTCAGTACGTACCCTCGTGTGCTACACCAAATGTCTCTCAAATAGTTTTAGAATAACAGTGGGAACAGTTACTTTCACGTAAATACAGTGATGCTCCAAATTCAGCGTTGACTTAAACTGGGTCAACTTTAGTGGACAGGTACGTGTTACAAGGAGTCGGTCCTTAAAGCCCTGGTGGCCTTCACGATGGAGAAATTTGGATGTCCAGAGGTGGGGGTACGGTTACTTGAGGTGTGCGGCAGCTCAGCTGCTCCGCTCCAGCCTGGTGCAGTGTCTGTGGGCCAGACCGGGGTAAAACAATCCGGGGGTGGGCGCGTGCTGTGGTTATGGGCGGAAACTCCAGTGAGGCATGAAGCAAATGGAGATAAACTTTGGAATTTATTAACCAAGTACTGTATTACAAAACTGTGCTCAGTTTCCTGTCGGACAGGTTAAAACTACCATTTTATTTGCAAAAAACAAGAACAAAACCAAAAAAAAACTGTTGGTTTACACAAGTCGTCTTGTTCAAAAGTTACCTGAACCAGATGCACCAGCCAAACCTTTCAGAAAATTGTAAATGCACAAATCTGTAAATTTCACATGTACATGTATTTAACGTATATTAGTATACTCATTGGTACTGACACCAAGTAATTTTGGGTGCATATTTCGACAGGATTTCTAGTTTGTCAGTTTATTAGCACAGGCTATTATCTACAGCGTCATTTTGGTTTTTTTTTTAACATTGACAAAACAACGGGGCATTCTCCGAGGTTGGCCCGGAAAATGTAGTATCACTCATGTACATGAGATTGATGGTGCGACATTTGGTAAAGATGCTACAGTACACAGGAGGGATCATATTTAAAAACAAAGAATCCCCGTCTGTAGTGTCTTTCTTGTGGCTCTTTGAAAAACATGGAATGTACATGTGACAAGATGGGATTCATGAAACTTGTCCACGCCAAATACACATTTTTCACAGCCAGTTCCTCTTAAATATGGAACTGTTTCTCTTGATTGCAGCAGCAGTCACTAAATAGTCATGCATCCTTTACACTCTGACAACTACATGTGCTAGAAGTATTGAAGAAAACAAACCCAGGGCCTTTATTTATACATTACATTAATTCGTACGTTGTGGAAGTAAATTACACAAGTTGTTCTTTTTTTAGTCGTATACGACACATAAAAAAAAAAATCGCAAAGTCTCTGCTATTAAAATGGAAAGTGGACAACACGATCTGAAGTCGTTTGAAAAGCTGTGGCCTTGAAAAGAGTAGCTATCCTCAGAAATCTCAAATTTTTCATCCACTGAAAACCAAAGCCAGTTGCTCTTGGGAGCGTGTACATGCCCTAACATTCTGTGGGAAATGTTCCTCCTCAGAATTAACAAGGATACTCGGAGCAAGTTTTAATTATGCTTATCCATGGATCGTTTGCTTTGGAGGGGTCCGATTTACAACGCAATGGTTGACATCTCACCATCCTGCAGTCTGTTCAACTATTCTCCAGTCTTAACCTGTGGTATGACGTACACGCATATGCTGTTCGGAGCCTAGTACAGTTGAAGCTCGTTAATAAGCGGTTGTTCAGACTTGGCAAATTACCTCGTTATAACAGGAACCTTGTATTATCAAGAATGAAAACAATGAAAAACAAAGGATTAGGACCTGAACATTTCCTTGTTAGCAGAATCTTGCATTAACCCTGCTCTTATTAACGAGGTACGACCGTAAATATTCATTACTCCTGCGCCAAACAAGCGTACTGATCTCTTTTGCAAGTGTCCAGCCAAATGTGCCAGTGCTGTAGCCTGACCTTTGCGAGACCAGTCACAAGGGAACAGGGTGAACGATGACAAAGGAGTGCTTTTGCTGTAGTTTGAATACAGGTAGCTTGTCATCTGAATTCATGCAGGATGTCTCGTGTTGGTCTTCAAAGGTCTCCACTTCAACACTGCCAAGCACTTGCAACGGCCAACCTATGTTCACTGCAATACAGGAGAATGTTGGCACACGGACGGCCATGGCTTCCTCTGTCCCTTTGCGTTCCTATATTTCAAGGAACCCGGACCCTTGCGCTGATAGTTCTAGTTCCTATGATGCAAAAGGAGGCACCATTTTCAATGATTTTCTCATGACATGCTGCAAATGTGGTCTCTAATGAACCTCCACGTGAACACTTGTAAATCACTTTTGCTTGTCCCAGTGCCCTGCGTCTTGGCCTTCAGTGCCCCTTAACATGTTTGATTTCTCGTACATAAGTTCAGACTTGTACTGAGACTGGAATTCCATGGGCACTGTGTCCTTTCAGACTGTGCACTCAAATATCAGATTTGCTTTTTTTTCTTTTAGCCAGGGACACATTTGATTATTCCTGTTGTGTCGTTTCACTGTGGAATCTGGAGAGAAAAGAGGGACACAGTACAGGGGTCAAGATCTTCGATGTTTTTGTGCTAAAGAATTTAACACCAGAGGTTTTCAAGCCATGTAGAAAGCTGCGTCACCACAAAAGAACTGGAACAAAAAAGCACCTTAAGCTGCTGAACATTTAAACACATAGGGAGGAATAAGAAGCCAAGATTTCATGAAATGTACATTAAAATAGTTAAACACAACTAAACCCCCCCCAAATGAACAGAAATTGTGTATACAGATGATTCTTTCAGCACAATAAATATGACTAACTTCAAAAATTGCCCTCGTGGTGCAACATACACCAGGGTTTCCCTTAACATCTAAATAACAAAAATAAACTTGTAATAGCAAAACCAAAAAGATGCCGCGCTCTTGCTCCTTGAATGGACGAGTTCACCGACACGAATAACTACAGTTACATTATTCTTACAGTTTTTAAGGACAGAAATTATCCATCGTGAAACTCAATGCACTTCTGTTAACGCTGCCACCTCTTCCTTGCTCCACCCCCAAAATGGTTGGGGAGGCTGTCACTGAGTTCACTTCACGCTAAATGAATGAACCAAACTCTCCTTTTTAGAATAAATGGTATCTCTGTCTACTTGGTTTCAATTTTAGGAATTGTAAAACTCTTGTTCAGTAGCTGTGAAACAATTCGACAACACAGACTGAAGACTTCTGTCTGTGTTCAGGGTAATGTGAGATATACACTGTATAAAAATGTATGCACGCTACGGCTTTGACGAGAATCTACAGGACACATGCAAATTAGTCCTTTCAAGGCTGTCCTTGGTTCCTGTGAGAATTTGCATGCAATTCAAATAAACTAGTTGACGAGAGTTCCACATGGTCACAGAAATTGAGGCAGATACCAAAAGTGGAGGTAACATTACAACTACTGTTGGCAAATTTTGTTGGCTTCTGCTGAACAAGCAACTCAAAATGAAACAATGGGGGACAACCTGCTTCAGTAAATTGATAGGGTACAGGTTCCTACTACTGGGCCAACTTCATGGAGCTGCTTAAGCCCAGAATTTGTTTAATAAAACTTGCTTAATAAACAAAGATGACCAGCTCAAGCTCCATGTGATTGTCATGCTAACCAAAAAACTGGTAAATACTATTCTAGAACAATATCGATCACAGGAACTTTGGGCTGGTAACCTGATTTGTCAAGCAAGGTTTTTTCACGCTTTAACAAATTTTTTCCTTGAGCAGCACTGTGAAGTTGGCCCCCAGGTTAGGTTTGTACGGTGACTGTAGGGGGTGCTACGAGGCCCAACGTCATGAGAACAAAGAGAGGAACCACCTCTGGCTAGGTTGGAATTATGGCAGCCACTGGCCAGCAGGCTGACGCTATCTCCCATGGGAGTAAGTGTTCCTCCTGGCCACAGCCAGTCCATTGAGAGACAAGCGGATGGCAAGCAAGGAAACGAAACTTGCTTGTGTACTGTGTCGAAACAAACCCTTGCCCTAAAGATAAAAGGTTGCACAATATGCACTGCCGAAACAACGATTCCGTGCCTCTGACCAACACTCGGTGCTTTGTCTGAAGTGGGCGAATCTGTGCACACAACACAAGGCCTATTTTTCTCAAAAAAAACAAAAAAAAACAAATCCCTCGTCCCATTTGTTCTGGCTAGAAACCCTCCAAGCTCTCTCGTGCAGAATCAAAGGGCATATTCTTCATTCTTTCTTTCAAGGGGCATCGGGTTACTGTGGAAATCAATAGCAGGGCAGCAGTCCTACAACAACCCTTCCCTCCCCTGAAATCTTGTGACTTTTGAAGATCTCAGAGGTGCAGGGTTGACATGGCCTCTGACACATATTAAGCACTAACAAAAGAACGAGGAAAATTTAAAGTCACCTCAGAATGAGAGCCATTTTGTACAGAAGTGAGCTTTACAAGGATATACTGACATTTGGACACAACATTTAAGAAAAGGAGCGGCAACGGAAACTAGTTGGCTGCGGCCAGCTTCTCTGATAACCAGTCTAGGCCTTCGTAGAGTCCGGTGCCTTGCGTCGCACACGCTGCTTGGACGTACCACTGTAACACAGGAAATAAATGAAAAGAAGGAAACGTGACATAAATTTGGGAGGTTACATTGAACAACTGCAGACTTCTGTGATATGAGAGTGAACTCTGAGTAAAATGGAGCGGCCCTCGACTCGGTGTTGTGGTCGAGCCCATCACATGTCCCTGTGAGTTCACCACAAATCATCCAGTCTTAGCTATGTTGCAAGCTGTTCAAATGACCTGTGACAAAAACATTCCGTCGTCCCTGTTCACTCTGCTAGGACCAGTCTACTCAAAGGACTTGTGTGTCTGTCACAAACTCGACTACAAAACTGCGCAGAATTGGAATGACAGACTGAGACTATGTGTCAAACACCGACACCAATGTCAGTGCTAAAAACAATTTGCTGCATCCGTTTCCAATTGTGCATGTGAAATAGATTTTATATCGCTCATAGCTGACGTGATATGCAACGAATGAGAACATGCTTTTACGGACCACTCACATGATCCAGTCTGGGCCTTGTCTAAAATGATAACTGATGAAAGGTAATCATTAAATAGAATTTTCCCTTTTCATTTTATTGATTTATAGCCTTTGAATATTAGAGTTTGAAACTAAATACTGGCATATATTTGATAATCAACCGAATATCTGACATTTAACAGATCAAGGCTCCAAACATACCTGTCTCCCTCTCAATGTGTTCAAGCCTAGGCTCTCTGTCACTTCGCTGACGGACATGGCGTGAGGCAGGTCCTGCTTGTTGGCAAAGACCAGCAGGATGGCGTCCTGGAGTTCGTCTTCTTCCAACTAAGCGACAACAATGGAAACGAAAGGTCAAAGTTGAAATACCATACATACCAACGTCTTTTTTTTCCCTCTCTACCATTCACTTGGACGTGCTGGGGGGGGGGGAATTAGAGCTGTCCGGAACCCCCAAAAATATGCTTCAAAAAACCCATTTCTGAACATCCAGTCTTTACTGGCAAGGTGCATGTGTACATGATTGACTGGCCCAAAATCATGCAGATATGTTACATCAAATCACTGCCCTGTCTTTTTCAGATAATTTTTTTTCCTTAAATGTCGCAGACTACCAAGAAGCTCCAGCCAAACACAAACCAAGGGCTGTTTGTTTCACCCAAACCTGGATCTTGAAGAGCTGTCCTGACACTGGTTCGCACCATCCGCTACGAGGGGTTTGGTGTCCGTAAACTAACGACGAATTGCTGATCGTGATCCAGATCCGTGTGGAACAAACACGACCCAAGATTTCAGTGGAGAGTGGGAGATTGCTGATTGATGTCTCTTACCATTTTGGAAAGTTCATCTTGTGCCTCTTTTGCTCTCTCCTTGTCGTTGCTGTCAACTACAAAGATTAATCCCTGGAGAACAAAACTGTCCATTAGAAACATCGGTATTTCAGCTTAAGGCAGTTCAACCCTTAAACTGAAGAATCCTTTCAAATTCCATTGAGAATTGCAAACTTCTTGAGATGTCAGCCTCCATTATGTTTGGTATCATTATAATTTATTATAACACCTGAGCTTTGGTCTGAAGGGTAAAGAATGTGGCCAGTTCTGCATGTAATCAACTGACAGAGAGCACAAGTGGAGTGTATTACATTATCTTGAAGTAACCCAGCTGGTTGCCTGCAGTTAATCACACCTAAGAACTGCAAAGGGTTTAGAAGAGGTCAACATCAAGGATGGATGATCGTTGTGAAAACTTGTGCAAGGCAAACTGTAAAGAATTATGACGCGCTGAAAGTGGGAGAGGATTACAAAGAATTCATGCACCTTCACAGGCAAAACATTTTCAGCCAGAGGAGCGACTATATTCCCCACTTACACATCTAGGCTTCGCCACCATTTTGGGGCACCGACCTATTTGTAAGTGTTGGGCCCTTTACTCTGAGGACCGACGGATAATAGATGAAGCCGCTACTTGTAGATAACGGCCTCTACAAAGCAGGTGCATATGCCATTGCCCGCTGTAACCAAGGCCTTACACACAAACAAGGAGGATAGGTCGCTTGACGTGCATACCTGTGTGTTTGTGAAGTAATGTCTCCAGAGGGGTCTGATCTTGTCTTGACCGCCCACGTCCCACACGGTGAAATTGACATTCTTGTATTCTACTGACTCAACATTAAATCCTGGCCAAGGGAACGTGAAAAAAGGAGAGTTTTGACGAGGTCGTGCCAAGGCTGCATAATATTGTATACAGATAAACAGCGCAGATGGATGCCATACATACAGAGCTTTACAGTTTGGTCAGATGGGCCCCATTAAAGAGGAAGGAAAAAGCCAGCAATTTTCACCCAACATACTAAAAAGAGTGAAAAAAATTGTTGTTTTTCTTGATACAGATAAAGGCTTGAACCTATACAAATGTATGATTTTTTCAAGCAACCCTATTCTCAACTAAAAACCCATTCCATTGTAGGAAAAAAAATTGAGTGCCAATAGAATTGCCCTCATTTCCTGAACTAAATTTGAGAGTTCCAATGTAGGGGTGGAAACCGAGCTTACACTGGCAACACAAAATTTGGTATGCCTTGTTAGTTTCTGTGTAATTATACTTGACTTATTGGTAAGCAAAAATTGTCAAGCTAGATACATGTAGATATCCGATAGCTATGTTATTTCTCAGTAGTCTGTATCATGCAGATTTGACAAGAAACAGGGAAAGCAATATCATATCAGAGGAAGAGATCGGTGTGATCAGTTGGTCTCCACAATTGATTGATTTGTTGATCCACTAGGAAAGCTCCAACTTTGCTTCCCCTTTTCAAGAAAAGTCTTCCCAAACCTTGAACACGAAAGAATAGGCAATAGGGTGAGGGTTAGACCGACAGCCTGTGACATGATGTTGATTAACAGACTGACGGTCAGTCACACAAACTGACCATTCGCTATCCACAGAGGTATTTCAGAGGAGATGGGAATCCCATCTTCCTTGTTGTACTCACCGATGGTGGGTATGGTTGTGACTATCTCACCAAGCTTGAGTTTGTAGAGAATTGTGGTCTTTCCAGCCGCATCAAGTCCCACTAGAAAAACAAGCAAAATGTGATGAAATAAAAACTACAATTTTCACATTTGTCACTGCCATAAAATATACCACTTTGCCAGCATCAAGATGTCATGAAATGAAAAGGTCTGTTGATTCTATTATACTGAACATGCGCTCTTAAGTTCTGATTACATCTAATGACAATGTCCATGACTCAATGCACATCTGTTACATTCAGTCCCAGTCACACTTGCATACATGTACACTGCCACCCACGGATACATGTACAACCTGTCGTAGACAGCTACATGTACATCTATGTACACAGTCACACATCAATAAGTGCACTGTAGCTGACTTAGCCCGACTACCTGTGAATTTCTTACACAGTTAAAGCATTGTATCACTATTTCTAGCTCAGCCACAGATGTGTACAGTGGAACGCCTCTATATTGAACACCGCTGTACCGAACATTCGGCTGTACCGAACATCATCCCTGGCTCCTAATAATTTGTGATCAGAACCTACCGAACACTTTGCAGTTGCCGTTTGTAATTCCCGCACGTCAACATGATAAAACAGTCGGTATTTTTATGTTGGAAAGTGAAAAGTGGCCATAATTTCCCCAAGGATTAGAAGGGAAAGCCACTAGTTGTCAACAGTATTGAATGGGCTCTGGTTTTGCGACTCTGCCATCTCCTACACCAGCAGACAAGCAACTGATAGTCAGTGTGGCCCAGGCATTGGTGCATGGCGGATAGTGTGTTGTGCCGCCTTGCATACCAAATTGCCATAATGGCCTTGCAACATGCTGGTTGGGCTGCCAACACACCGGTCCTCAGCATGCTAGGTCACCAGGTCCCAGTGCTCGTCATGCCTGCTCGTCATGCCTGCTCAAGACACATACATGTGTACACTGTACTCTATGTTAAATGCACTGCACTCCATCGTGCTCATGCCTTGCATAGTCAAGTTGTCTGCGCCAATGACATGGTAAATAGTCAAGTTGGTAAATGGTTGAGCTGTTTACATTCTGAAACACTCCCTGGTTCAAATGATTTCATATTTTGGCACTCTACAGCACCCTGCCACCATATTACCATGCTAAGAAAACGAGAAAATCCCGCCATCCAGAAATGGTCAATCCAATACACAGAAATGACAATGGCAGACTACTAATCTCACATATTAATGCATGTGCAAGTCAAGTTGAGACTGGTGGGTGACAGATTTTTCTGACAATTGTTGATAAAACGGTCAAAGTTCTTATGCCGCTGCCGGCCGTGCAAAACTTAATTAAAATGAGTGCGGCAACAGTATGGCAATAGCATGGTAGTTGGGCTTAATGCCAAACTTAAATAGAACAGAGCTACATGTATGCCACTTCCCTTTGGAACGACGATAGCGCAGTACATCCTGTTGAGCATAAAGGCTTGCCATGCAGAATTCAATTTGCCACGCCAAATGGTGCCAAACTCTGTTGCTGTGCCGGACTTAAAAACACTGAATTATTTGAGCTCTGCACAGCAGTAGCATGGTGCATAACCTAAGCATCCCAAAATTTTATAGGGACGTGCACTGACCAGGAACACTTTGGAAATTGGATTGAGCACGTTGAGAAACGAGTAAGTAGAATTTTTGAATGCAAGAAATGTGACAATAAAATTAAAAGCTGGGTTCAAAATTCCACGGGAAAAAGTTCCATACATGTACACAGAAAAAAACTTGATACCCCTGTGCACAGACCTATGGGACTTGTTATGCTTGTCAGAAAATACCAAAGCGTTTTTGTAAGTAGTAACTACATGTACATGCTTCGGAATTTCTTAGCTACATGTAAATTTCACTTTTTATGATGTATCATTATCACTTTTTGGTGACTGCTATAACTTTTAAGGGACAATTAGAGTTGTCCATATATGGAACTCTTTCCACTTTCCATCTTTCCAAGATCATAAATGACCTATTAATTCCTAGGCAAAGGGCTGTGCCTTGCCACGCGTGCAATTAGGCTACTAGGCCTATAGCCCCACTAGTGTGGCACGGACTCACTCCCGATCCATCCTTAGCCACAAATCTGTATGTGCAATTTCGTGTCAGCGTATTAAACATTTCGGCGCACCCACTTATCATCGTGGGCGCAATTTCTTTTGCACACAAACATGAATCTTGACCTTTCCGCTTTCTAAACCATGTATTGAATGATTTCACTCACGTTATTGAGGTATTTTCCAGTTGTTTTGCCTTTATCCATTCAATCTAATGGGCTCGCTCTCTCAATCGCGATCTTTAAAATAAGATCGTTGAACAATACGTCACTTGACCCCTCATCGTCTCGACGGCTGTTCCATGTCAAGACATCTAAACTGCTGCCCAAGTTTTGGAAGAGCCCATTGGTACATGTAGTATCTTATCGCTCAGTCCGTGTATGTCTTGACATGGAACAGTCTTCGAGACGATGAGGGGTCAAGTGACATAATGCTCAACGACCTTATTTTAAAGATGGCGACTTTTAGAAAGCGGAAAGGTCAAGAATCATGTTCGTGTGCAAAAGAAATTGCGCCCACGATGATAAGTGGGTGCGCCGAAATGTTCAATACGCCGACACGAAATTGCGTATACGGATGTGTGGCTAAGGATGGATCGGGAGTGAGGGTGCGGGCCACACTAGTGGGGCTAGTACAACTGCAGTGGGGGGAAATGTGAAAACTTTTTTTCTGATATGCCTTACAAATAACTGAACAGCTTTGACTCAAAGTATTGTTCATCAATTTTAAACTACTATCCAAGCAACAATAAATCTAAGCCCAATTAAATGTACATGTATTTAAGTGTACGGTGTTGCCTTTCTAAGATTCTTACCCATCAATATCCTCATTTGTTTCTTGCCAAAAATTCTGTTGAACAGACCCGATATCGCAAGGCCCATTTTGAAGTGCTTCCTCTCCAACGATCGACTGAAACTTTACAATTGTACTGATTAAGATTGAAATAGTTTGAATGGATTCCACTAGATGTGTTTGTACTGCTGGAAGTTTTGGTAAAAACGGAAAATTTTACTCGATTTCCAATAGTGCAATTCCACTGCCACGTAATCCGTGCTAACGTTGGCCCATGAATGACGTCACATTGCGCTGCCAAACCAAAGGAGGGCGCTATAGTGGGTTTACATCCATGATCTCCATTACGGGTGCACCGTAGCATATAAATTCCCATAGCCAACAGGTGATAATTCAGTCCACATACTTCACAAATATTTTTTTTTAAATGCTTACAACTCTCACACGTATTCAGGCTGCATAGAAAAACAATGTTCGACATGTCCTATTTCATATTCCCTTCAATGTTTAGTGGGTTGACCAATGAGTTTTTGAGAAATACCCAAGGAAGACAACCCCTAAAATGAAGGAAATTTCACGGCGAGGAAAGGTAGCCCTTTTGAAAATGCATCCCTCTGAAAAATGGTTCAAATAGTGCCATTTTTGGACCTAAATGGGTCCAAATTGCTCAGGATGGGAAGCCTTGAGTCCGAGCCAGGTGAGCGCCTTAGTACAGGTTCAAGACGCATTTGCCGACTCGGCGGTCGCAGGGCTTAGGGGCTTGTCTCGTTCCTCCCTTGCATGGCCGCTTTACCCTTTTGGGGTAACATGGATGGGCAGGGAGGAAGTGCAGTGGGCTGGGACTCGACCCCGAGACCCCAGAAGAATCCTTTCTGGAAGCCGGCGGTAACTGCGATTCCTTGCGAATTTCAGGAGTCCGTCCACTTGAAAGCTTGGTCAACACCGCATCACTTTTGGATTGTTTTCCCTCACCAAGCTTTTTTTTTCTCTCATTACCCTGGGCAAAGGAATGAAAAATAATTGCAGTCTGCTTTGCAAACGACAATTTGGAAAACAGGCTTAATTCTCAGTCTCGGGTTCCGGCGCAGTGTAGCTCTGACTTGTGTAATGGAAGGAAAACGATCGCCCGAATCTCTACTCTGGCATCATGCCACATCGCCACGCCGCAGCACCCGAGCAATGTCAAAAGGAGTTCCACAATAGCGTCCACGTACGCTTCAAGTCACCGTTAGCTATTATCGCTAGCCCTCGGGCACAGTAAATTCAGACAATTACAACATGGGCGCGTACGACTCAGTCGCCATGGATACCGCGCTCAGGATAGCCCTCCTCATCCCATCACCGTGTTTTGACTTAACGAGCATTCTAGAAAAAGCACGGTGTCTGTCAATACGTTGTGCGAAAACAGTTTGAATCACGGTCTGGGTGATAGACATCTGACGTAGCACGGGGTTTACGGGGGGACAGTTTTCCCGTTTACACCATGACCACGTGACTGCTTTGAGGGTTGAATTTTTCTGGAGAGAAATTTCTTCAAATATCATCCGTTAACACCTGAGAATTACTGTACCCCTTAGGGTGCACTAAACTAATTCAGGCCCCATTGAAGACAATGTAAAATCTACGAATTTGCAACCCCGTTGCAGGCAACCGAAGTCCCTCAGGCCTCCAAAAACAAACAAACAAACAAACAAACAAACAAACAAGCAAACAAAAACCAATGTGTTTTGGGGTCATTCAGGTTTCAATTTATTTTCAATTTTTAGAAGGTTAACCAATGAAATTTTTACTATCCCACCATAACCAACTCATCCTCCAAAAAGTGAACGTTCCCAAGTCTGTCAGCATGCCACTTTTTAATGACATCCCTCCACTAATTCAGGCTCTTGGGACAATTTTCAGTAGCATTTTTCCATGCTTTACCTTGGGATGGGAGCCCTTGAATCTCGGGAGTTCATTCTGGGTCATTCTTACACAATCCCACAATTTCTTGGGACACACAATCTCCTCTTTTTCAAATAAACTCTACGGGTACTTTTTGAGCGCCTCCGCCTGGCGAAGAGTTTCCCTTGATTTGGGCAGTGCACAATTTACTTGCCTGCAATAAGCGAACAGCGACCTCGTGCGGTCATCGTGATATTTAGCAGAATTTAATATCACGCTGGACGCGTGAGGTCGCTGCTGGGCTTGATTTTTCCCACAGACATTTACTTCCTTCGACACGTGCGCACGTGCACCAACGAACTGTGGCTGAGAACAACTCCTTTACCGTCAGTGACAGTGTCACTACTCCATCATATCCTGCCCTTGTTCTCCAAGTACGAAGTAGGCTAGTACTTGGTATGGGGCTATGAAAAAAGGACGCCCAATTTTCGTAAGTAGGCCCTAGACTATAGGAGGCCTTGTCCTAAAATGTCGAGTTTAGGCTCTCAGACACTGTCATGACTGTGTCAGTGAACACATTTTCAGTAGAACCTCATCATGCTCATGGAGGGTATTTTCCCCGACACTAGGCCTAGGCCTACCCCAAGATTGCAAGAACCGTGGACTTACAACTCCATCTATGTCCATGCACTCTGGTCCTCTGTACTCATAGGCCTAGGAAAGTAGGATGAGTGCGTATATCACTATATGTAACAAACCCAATAGCCCTTGCCCCCTTGGGGTAACCCAAACATATGCAAGCTCTGCCATATCCGCTGGCCCTGCATAACTTAAGACACTAGTTGCATGATCAACCATGTCAACTAATAATTTTAATAAGCTACATATTTGTGCTATGCTATATTTGTAGGTGCAAAAGCAAGAATGGCAACATGACATGATTAAAAGTAATTGTACCGAACAAAGGTGGGATTGTATACTTTGGGAACCCCCTCCCCCGGTTTTTTGTCATTTTAATCTTGTGCAAGTGGTCATTCCCCCCCCCCAAAAAAAACAAAGGCAACACCAACGTTCTCTTTATTGCACTTACCCTATTTTTTCGAAATTTCATAGTGTAAATTGTGAGAAAATGTCACTTTGTCAGTGATAAACCAGTCATTGCGAATTAATAATATCCAGAAGTAGACTTTGCTGAGTATCAGTTCCCCTCGTAAATTCCCTCAAAACACTACCGTTTTTGACAACATTAACCGTACAGTTATTGAACATGATGTCATACATCATGTAGTCATCTCCCATGGTGAATTCAAAAGTTAAAATGTAGCTCTCCCTTCTATTATAGGAAAAGCGTCCCCAAATTTACATTCCCCGAGCAAAGATTATCGAATGCATCAGGAATGGGGCAGATCCATCATGTCTACAGATTTTCCCAACACTAACTAATTACATTCATGAACTGAACTGAGGAAAATGTGCCTACAAAGTTAATTCCCAAAACAGTTTTGCCAGATTTGGTTTCAGGTACAGTACCATGGATGCCACATCAGGAATTAGCACTCCAGAATCACCTGCTAGTCCAGAGGGAGGGAGGTTAGTAGATGACAGTGCCATGCCAAGGTAAGCTCTCCTACATCATGCTGAAATGCTGCACTTACAGTAGTGTTGAAATTGAAATGGTTTATTTCATCAAACCTGTCATCGCAGCAAAATGCTGAATAAAGACAATTTTACAGTAAAAAAATATTGTTAAAATACAACCTAAAAAATACATATAATGGTAAATCTATTAAGTAAAATTAATCATAAAATCATCCGAACAAACAAACAAGCAAGCAACTACACAAACACCCCGGCCAACTCCCTCAATAAAATGCATAGACCCTACTAAAATACTAACAAAAAAGGAAAAAAGAAGAAAAAAAAAAACAAGAATGCAATTATAAAAATGCCCAACTATATGATTTTGTCAAGTAGATTGAGAACATAAGCCAGCATCTGACTGCAAAATAAAAGAGACAAGTCAGGGACAAAAACCCATTAAAAGACTAGTCATAATTAACACCTTCGCTACGGAGGACTGCTACTACCCACCACTGTGTGAGGATTATTGCATACCACACATACGGTCTATTCACCATGCAGCTGCTGGTTCAATGGGGTCTGCTCCTGGACAAAGCCCTCCATTCAGGGCATATCACAGCCCAGCAGTCGTGGTCAAAATAATAAAGTATTAAGTATTAAAGGTTAACTATAGAATTGGACTGTTAATGATCCTATTTGTTCTGTATTTGAATTCAGTACGGTGTGATGCACCTGATCTAGTGTCGTGGTCATGTGATATATAACAGGAGGCAATAAGTGATTGAGTTTGAAGAGGTCTGGCCAAGATGCCTGGTAAAGGAAGAGCACAAATGATTATGCCACCTTTGGAGACTATCAAGTCCCAAGTACTCCCTTGCAAATGATTACTGCTTGTATCTGGGACCAATAATAATTTTGTAAGCTCAGCGCTGTATGCGTTCAGCAACTTGGCTCTGCCCCCACGTCAGGGCACCAGACCGCACCATGATTGCATACACAAGAGTAGTCTCACTAAAGTTGTATAAACGGCAGTGAGATTTTTAATTGAAAGACTGTAATGCTTAAGTGTCCTCAAAATATACACATGACTATGTACACATTTAACGATACTTTTAATATGATTGCCCCATTGGAAATCTAGTTGGTTAATTACACCTAACAGTTCGACAGCCTGACAGTGCTGAATGTGTATTAACTTGTTTTTTTTTTACTTTTTCAACCCTTTTTCAAGTAGAAATAGTGCTACATGCACCTGTACATGTACGCACTGTCTTATCAAACATGAGATTTGGTTTCGCCTCCCACACTCACCCATGACAAGCTTAGCTTTGTCGAAATGGTCGTGAAAAGTTGAAAGGAAAATTTGCACACAGACATGCACTGGACAGTGTTAGCAGTAAATCTGCATTGATCAAACCTACAGACCCTAGACATTTGGTCCGCTGACATTTTATTTTTCATTTATGTTAACTGCAAATTGATTTCTTGCATTCTGTTCAAAGGTAGAACTATTTTAGTAGCAACTTATTTTTAAAGCTCTTGTAAATATTACATTGTGCTTCAGGTTTGAGTGTCCGCCAGATTTCAGACGAGTCAGGATATCGACGGAGGATGAACCTCTCTATCTGGAGGACCTACAAGAAGCCAAGGAGCTGTGGTTCATCAAGACGCCTCAAAATGTAATAACTTTCAGTCTAACTCCTGAAAATCAAAAGCCAACTTTGTAAGGAATGCCAAAGACCCCTGTAAAAAGCAAATATGTGACCCGCTCTGTAAAAATGAGTCACAAGTCATCTGAGCCACTTTCGAGTTTTTCTCTGTATTAGATTGAGGCATTTGAGCTCTTTCTTATGATTTGTCACTCAGTTTGGTGCAATGAAAATGGACGTTGCGTCAATGTTAAAATGTTGAGGATTCCTGTTGCTTAAACACCGTGCGAGATTCTTTCAAAGGCCTTTAACCGAAAAGTGGCTCTGGCGACAGGTGATGTATTTTCACAGAGCGGGTCACATTTGGCTGAGCAATATGTCTACCTTCCTAGATCCTCCAAAGAAACTCTTTAAAATCGTTTTGGTGGAACGGCCAGGATTAGTGACGTACATGCACTACTCGAGACAGTTTAGCGTTTTCTGTTGGCCAGTTTACTGTCATGCCTTCTTGAGTCAGTGAACCTCCTGATGTGCGACTATCCTTCGAACTCATTCCCGTAATGGTCACCCTGGTTATTACATGTGAAATGCGTCGACACTGGCCCTGTGCCCACCTCATTCTTGACTAGGCCAGGGTGCCCACCATATGAAAGAAAACACTCGGCCATTGTCAGGAGTCACTGTTACCTATTGCAGATGTGTATAGTTGCATGTAGTACCCTTCCCTCCTTCAAAATATGTACCAATTATTGACTGCTATGATTTGGGATACGATGTTTTAACACCCGAGGGACGCATAGTACCTGCGGTAAAAATGAAGGTACTATGCATTTTCATTACCCAATCACACGATTGTGTTTGGAAAATGAAAATGCAGTATTCAAGAAATTGGTCTAACAATCTTTAACAATATCGATCATGATAATGGTAAGTCACCTGATGTTATTTTTAGTCCTGTTATTTGGGCCTAACAAATACTTCTGAGACCATTTCAGCTCCCCGGGGAGTATGCAATAAGAAAGTTGCCAACTCTTCGAAAGCATTTGTATCAGTTATTCTTCATAGTTTTTGTTTTTCTGGTTGACATTTTCTTCAGTTTGATGTTAAGAGCTTGAACTCCAAGACTGTGCCATTGAATGGGAGGCAGGTTCTGGACGAAGTAGAGGAGACGTACACATCGTACGAGCTACTTGTGTCCCAGAATGCACCCTTGGACAAAGTGAGTTTAGCTTCGTCGTCATCCAGCCTCAGTCAGGCTTGCCGATCACTCAGAGGTTTTGGAGTAGGAGAGCCGGGTTTAAAGGTTTTTTATTCTGAAATGCAAAACTCCACACCCTAGTGTTTTGCTGTTTTTAGTGGTAATACTGTGGACTGCAGACCTAACCTACTACATACTTGTATATTAGGTGGGGAGTCAGGCTAGCATAAAGGTATTTTACAACTGAGCAGCCCGAGGCTCAAATTTCACCCGAGCCAGCTTGTAGATTGGCCTTTCAGTGGTTTATCTGTGTCAACAATTGCTCAGGCTTTTCTTTCTCATCTCTAAAACTTAACCTCACTTCATTGTCATCTTTAGTGTTACGTGTAGCCATCCTGTAAATTGACACTTGCATAAAGGCGAGATAAAACAGACGGTCGTGTGAGACAAGTCTGGCGGTATCTCTGCTCTCAGCAAGGCTGTGGGATTTCTGAGTGGATTCGGAAATTTTTCGAGGGCAAATGCTCCTTGGGAATGAGGTTGAGGGTTGCTCTTCGGTATCGTGGACAGGAGGTTGCAAGAGTTGCAGCATGCTGCCGGCCGTGGAAATAGTTTTCTGTGTGAATAGTTCCGGATGCGGCAACTTAAGTTTTATGTACTCACTTCTGTTTTTCAGCATAGCTTACCACGTCTTCTACTTCCATCCAAAAGCCAGGCAGATCTTGTGCCAGGTTAGTGCTCAGGATAATACCAGCCAATTTTTTTTTTCTTTCAATGAAAAATGTTGAAAAATAATTTATTATTGTAGATATTTTTCAGCTCCATTGTAACTGTAAATTGTAACAAGGCATGATGCATTTTATCCCCTGAGTGCTTGGGCCTTAAAATAATTCTGCTATTTACGGCCCACCCTGTGAATTCAATAAACCTTTCCCTATTATCATGGCATCATGGGATTGGATGATAAGCAAGCCCATGTATTTTATGCATGAACCGGTTGGGAAGTGAACCAGCAGTTAATCATTTTCTCCAGAACGTTTCTTACGTAACTGCTCATCAAGTCACTGATGCATGCATAGCTTTCAAGTTTTTTTTTTGGTAAAGTACATGTAAAACGGAAAAAAATCACCCTTGGATGTCATCTTAAAATGGGGCCATTCACTACAGGCCACAGAATGAACGTCATTGGTCAGTGCGAGATGATTGAGCTGAAAGACCTGGCTCTAATTTGCCTGTGCCAGCTCACCGCCATTCACGATCTCAGTCCAAAATAGATACTGATGTCCATGAAAGGGTTTCCCCAAATAATCTTTTTCTGGTGAGCTTCAAAATTTGATTTTTGTGACAAACTTTCTTCACAACACTGTGCCCAAAAAGTCCCATCCCATGATGCATCACTGATGTCAAAAATGTGTAATTATCATCTTTTAAGGCTGTCACGAGTAGAAAAGAATATAAGATACGGGTACATGAAAGAACAAATCTTTTAGACCCACTCCATGGCCTACACAGAAGGACTAGAAAATTGTAGGTGAACTGGCTGATAGTGATAACATCCTTTTTTACAACCCTGTGAAGACCAGTTCTCAACAGTCGTTACTAATCTTAATCACCTTGTAATGTAATGCGAGCTTCAAGGTAAAAAAAAATTTGCTTAGGGTCGGTGCTTAGAAAAAACAACAGTGAACCGATCAGTAACAGTGTACGACATACGACATTTTCGCTGGTAAAACCCGTTTTGGCTCAGCAGGGCCTCTGCACTTGGCACATATTTGTGGTTGATTAGCCAGTTTCATTCTGTCACAAAGATTGAATCCTCGGTGTGTGAGAGTGATACGCCCATGGATACAGTTGCCGTGCATGTACATCAGTCATATTGGCTGTTTTCACCCCTACAGGCCCAGCCTTTGGTGGCCAGTTGTCCGTTATAGAGACTGTGGATGTTCCACCAGTTGTACTCCCTCCCTCACCACCTCCAAGAACAAATGAGCTGCCGCCTGGTCTCAAACAGAGGTTTCATCCATTTGGTTGGGGTGAGTACATTGTGTCAGTCAATATTTCTGTGCAAAATTGGGTGGTTTTTCAATGTTTACCTCAAGACTTTTATAAAAGTGAACTCACTGATACTGGTCGTGTTTCATTGCCCGGTGTTTTTAACCCCTGGCTGAAGATGAGTCACGTGAGAGTCCTAGAGTCTAATAGGCTTGTGTCTGGAAATTGTATAATTATACTTAACCCTAACAGTCCCAAATCCTCCGATTTCAACATGATTTTACATACACCCTAGGGGGTCAGGGTTAATACCTTCCCAAATTATCCAAAATATGCTTTGCATTTTATAAGTAAACTGTCTTATGGATTGCGGCTGTGTGGCGGACGTGTGGCTGAGTTTCAAGGATGCATTGTGCAAACGCCTTGGGACAAATCTTGTGTTCTTAATACTCCGCCATGAGTAAATTCATGCCCAGTTGATACTGAAAGGCTTCCCTCCCCCTCCGGGATATTATTCACGCTCTGCTTCAACACACCGCCACGAATTCCTGGAGGTTTTAGGAGGATCGATGAGACTGCATCCAATTTTAACAGGGAGGCAGTGGGAGGATTGTGAAGGACGGAGGTTGCATGCTAACAAAAGTGCCTCTGGAAGGAGTCGGGGATAGCAGTTTGTAATTGTGCTCACTTTTACTCAGGTTTCCCTGCAAGAATACACGGACGTCAAAGTTGATTTCCTCGTGTAGATGTAATAGTTTTCTTTTGATGCCCCAGAATCCCAACTTCCTTCGGTGTTTTGCTGGGAAGCATTTTGAATTCTCCCCCCAAATCTACTGCAGTATAGAAATTCCGTGGAATGTCTTTGTACAAGGACACCAAGGCCCATGTCGGGGGGGGGGGAAGTAAGGTGCCTGGTGTGACTGAGGGCATTCTTGGGTGAACACAAACATCTGAGTAGGCTTTTTTCAGTGTGAAGCCTGTGTTTGATGTTGTTGAATTACAAGTTGAGAGCACAAAAGGGAAAAAAATAGGGGCAAAGGAAAAGATACTTCACATGAATGATAAAAAGAGCAGAGCGAACCAGGTGTGCCTCCCTCAGATCTTGCCACATGTACTGATTTTCATTTTGGAAGTTTCAAAGTGTTAATTAAATTATCAGATTGGGTCTTTGTCCCTCCTTGACTAAGTAGCCCGTGCCGGCATTACTTTGACGGGTTCTAAACAAGGAAGCAGTGGACAAACCTGCCACACGATGATGACATAACTGCCGGGTACTTTAATTTCCATTACCTTGCACAGTGCGAAAGTGAAGAATCTCCTTCACAAGGCCAGGCCAGCTTCGCTTTTGAGAAACCTGACCAGTGTTTTGTGAGTTTTGCCCTTGATTGTTGTGTTCGGTTTGCTGTTCGTGGCAAGCTTAGGAAATAAAAGTTGACTACAAGGGAGTTTCCAAAAACGAAGAGTTGGAAGCCAAAAGTGAAACGGTGTGTTGTAGTGTAATTTTTCCATTTCTTGATACAAGTATTTAAGAATGAACGTGACAGCAAGTATCTATGCCAGTTTTTTTCCAGCATGACATCATTTAAAGTATTTACCTCAGACTTTCCAACCTTCAAGATCATTTTGTTTACAATACACGAGACAGTTAACTCAGCACAGTGGTCCTCTGTCACAACTTGCAAAACTTGATGGAGGCATTGGTTACTCAATGTTACATAACACAAGAGAGCTCCAGTCCTTACCTTAGGTCCTCATTTCTGTCTCCAAAACTTGACCTCGTAGAATTTGGCTGCCGTATACTGCCACTGCTTGTTGTTTGCTACACATGCCTGAGCAGATTACAACGGCCTTTCACATGTGATGTCACACAAGAGGAGAACCCAAGTGCAGCTGTCTTGATTTGCATGTACGTGAAAAAGGACTGCAGTTTCTTTCCTGCTGTGTTGGAATGAAAGAATTAACCCTCCCTATGCAGCATTCTGGACAAGTGAATTTGATTTTGTGAAGAGATTGCTCAGCCCAAATGAGAGGGCTGTGACAGAGCAGAACACGGCAGTGTAGCTTCTCTTCAACTGTACCCAAGTGGAGTGGAGCCATGTAAATCCTCAGCTGGTTTTACGCAACCACCTGGTTCAGTTTCTGAATCATACGAGAGATATTAACTACTACTTCTGCTGTACTGCTGCTTTCGAACCTGTGGATGTTCTCTCTGCAAGCATATTCTTTGAGTCCGTCGTCACCAGCAGCAATCCTTCTGTGTTTGCTTCTTCATCTGTAGCGGTTTGTTCTGCCTTGGACAATCACAGCAGCCATCACAACACAAACTCCAGAGCAACAAGACAGAGCACAGTCATGTTGTCTTACCTCGCAAATGTCACCGTCTACGCCCCGGCGACTGCTTCCATTGACCAGCTGGACATGTTGATGTGCACTTTCTTCATCTGCGTCTTCCAGAACCACACCCAGGACTGCTCCGTGGCCTATTCCCTGCCCCAGTTGTATCATCCCCTGATCTGGGATGCCAGGGGGCCAGCCCCAGGGACTCTAGTGAACGAGTCCCTCACAACCCAGAGCAGCGCAGTGTACAGGCTTTTCAACCACTCACTACAAATCCGTGCCCTTGAGAGTCCAGCTGAGGCTGACGACTTTGTGTATTCTGGTGCACAGTCCATTTTGTATGGTTTTGTTTTGCCCATCGTCAAACTATTTGGGCTCCTTTCCAATTTGTCTTTCTTCTTCACCTTGCTGAGAGTTCCTTCAATGCGAAATGTAACCAATTTCTATCTTTCCAATGTGGCAGTTGCAGATTTGTTGGTGTTGATTTTTGCCACCACTTCAAACCAATGCCAAGTCTTGACAACACATATTTCAGTGGACATGTCATCTCTTGGCAACTCACCCCAAGTAGTTTATAGTCTCTTTGTGTACTTACTCAATGTGGGTACCATTTCCTCTTTTGTGTTTGTTACTGTGCTTAGCTACGAACGATGCTTTGCCATTTATCACCCTTTTGAACACCATGCTGTCAATCTGAAAAAACGAGCAATAAAAGTAGCCGTTTGCTTTTGGCTGCTGTCCTTGTCTGTGAATGCAGCCTTTTTCTGGTTTCAGTTTGAGGCCTGGAATGTACCACCAATCAAGTGTCTTATCTGGCCAAGTGAAGAAAAGTATAAACATTTATCGAGTAATGTGAAGGTGTTTGTGAATAGCGACGAAATGATTTTGACATGGTTGCAAGTGACTAATTATGTGCTCTTCTGTATATACGGCCTGTGTTTGGTTCTTACAGTAATTTTCAATGTTTGCCTTATCAAGCAAATGCATGCACCATTTCAAGGTAACATGCAGATCCGAGGCCCCTCACAAAATCAGCGAAGGGCGACGGTGATACTTGGCATCAACACAACCGTGGTGTTTTTGTGTTTTCTGCCACAAATTGTTATTACCCTGGTTTTGATATTATGTGGTAGTTCAGATGGATTGCATTTGTCCTTTTTTGTGGAACAAGATTTGTTGTTGATTGTCAGCTGGCTAAGAATCATAAATGCCTCCATTAATTCCGTCATATTCAACGCCGGTAGTGGAAGTTACAGAAAGGCCTTCAAGCAAGCCTTCTGTTGCAGCAAGAGGCAGCAAGGACACAGGGTCAATATTGCTCTGCAAACGTTACCCAGAGCAGATGTTGATAACAGAATCTGATAACATGATTGAGAGCTTGGATCAGAGCAGGTTTTCCACCAGATTTATTGTCCTCCCCCCCCCAAAAAAAACCACTTTTGTAAGTCCAAAAGGGTTGTATACAGAGGCTTTGCTTGGTAGCCATGATGCAGGGTAGTTGTCGTGCTCCCTCTTTCCTTTGTGCATACAATACCCTGTTGAACAAAAGCACTGGCCTGCAAGACAGCAGCCACGCAAAGCCTTTCTAGAACCACTTTCCAGTAATTTCTGTGCAGTAAACATCTTTCTCGCTTAATTCACTGTGTCCTTGCTGTGAAGCAGTTTAATCCAGATTAAAGTTTAAACCTGTGGCTTTATCAGATACTAATTGGCAATGCAAACAATTGTGGTAGTTGAATGGGTAAAACATCTTCTCCAGCAAGTAGTAGGTTGTGGGGTTCAAGTCTCACCCAAGCAAGCTTGGTAGCACAGGGCTACCGTATTAGTGTTTAAAATTTCTGTTTCTACGGCCTGCACTTGCATCCTCACTGTCATTCTCAGTGCTCTTCTTATGAAGCAATTGCACACATCACATCCAGATAATAGTCAGATGCAAAGTCCATCCAAAACTCAGTAAAGAGCAACAGTGAAACATTGTGGTAGGCATCACTGCAGCTGGGATATTTTTGCCTTTCTGCCACAGACTAGAATTATCCTAGTTTTTTAATATTTATCATCTCGTTTTAGATGAATTGCATTTGTCCATTGTTTTGGAAAAGGAGTTGCTTCTGATTGTTAACTGCCTCAGAATTATCAATGCCTCCATTAATTCCGTCGTATTCAACGCCGGTAGTGGAAGTTACAGAAGGACCTTCAAGCAAGCCTTCTGTTGCAGCAAGAGGCAGCAACTACACAGGGTCAATATTGCTCTGCAAACGTTACCCACAGCAGATTATTTGAATTATTCTGTATATAGAACATGCATACATGTCACATCTCCCTGGTCTGCCATCCTCATGCTGCACATGTAACACAGCCAATTGAATATGCAGATTGCTTTGCTGGATACGTGGGGTGGCATACCGAATAAGGGTAATGCCGGAACATTTCAAAGAGTTTGTCTGATTCCTATGTTGCCTGACATTTAGAGTAGTTTCTCCGGCATTTCTTTGCTTGTTTTTTTATGAGGAGTAGAGCAGTTGCCTTCAGATTTTAAAAGACTCCCTATGAGTCATCGTACGGATGCAGAGATTTTGTACACCGAGTGTTAACTCCCGGTGACAGTTACATGGAGTTGTGATAGCTTAGAGTTTGAGACTTACTGTAACATCAAAGCATTGGGTTTATGAGAAGTTGATGGAGAAAAGTCTGGTATGTACTGTACATTCATCTGTACTTTGTTAAGGGAAAGTCAGATTCACCGCCCGTCTCTAAACTGTTAGTTGATGATTGTGTATAAAGTTCCATTCATTGAAAGTGTCAGTTTGCCTTGATGTGTTTGTTACAAATCTGAAAGTACCTACATGTAAGTTCATGGGTTCTCCTTTTTCTGTGTTCTTGAATTTCTGTACAGGTTAACATCAAAATTCATTACAATTCTGTAGAGTGCCGATGTCTGCATTATCCGTTCAATTGTTATTGTGTACTAGAATGAACATGTACATGTAGATTTGACTCTTGACAGTTTCATTTGGTGACAGCAGAAATTCATAGTTTTCTTTGTATTTTTGTTGTTTTTGTTGATTTGGTAATGCTCTAATTTATTAAGGCTTCTTTTAGTGGAGCTTCAGGTGACAATCCACTGCACACCAAGGGTGAGATTTCCTGTTTCCTTGAGATGTAAACTGTGACCATGAACACCATTTTTAAGGAAATGCAATTTTACAGACAGGCCACTATAATTGGCATCCCTAGGATAGCTCATAACAGACACAAGACACGAGATTTGATTTATATCATTTTATTTATTTAATTATTTTGGCAATTGTAAACAAACAAAAACAAGATAATACATCAAAAACAAACTAATCTCAAGGCCAAGGATGGCCCCAAAATGTCTCTATAACAAGGCTCTTTTCCAATGGGGTCCTCACTTACGAAGATTTTTTTCACCGAAAATGTTTGCCAAAACAATCAAATACAATGTGGTCAGTAATGTAAGGAACAGCATATAGCAACTAGAGCCATACTGGATGGGTACAGGACTCAACCTGGGCTTAACCAATCCCCAGAACCCCAGTAGCTCGCCGAGCTACCTGTCTTGTCCACAGCAGTAATGAAGATGTCGTTATGAACTTGTGGCTAGGGCAAGAGGATCCTGTCCTGCATGTCAAAGCCTTGTAGACATGGATGGGAAAGGGGAAGGGACAGGATAGGATGTTTAGTGCCTAAAGTCTGATCCGGAACCTTTTCTCTGGGGCAGATTCCCTAGATAAACAGTGACAAACAGGCTCAGAGAGACCAACATAAATCTGTGAGGCAGTCACGACAGATTGCTAGAATTCAGAACTAAGCTAGTTTATTCAAAACCCAAATCATCCTCCAGTATTAAGTAATACTTCACTAGATGAGGTGGATTCAGTTTGCATATGACTTCTCATTCATTCTAAGCATCATAATTGTTGCTCCCGTGCATAAACCTGATTGGACTGACAGCCAGTCTAACTTTCAATAACAGTGTGTTTGTGTAATGGTATGCCACGTATGTGATAAAAGTCACAAGAATCTGAAAGAAACAACACAGTAAATAGCATTAAGAGTGAAATTGACAGCTTCTGCACATTATAACGGAATTACTCTGCACATAGCACTCTTAGAAAGTTTATGCAGTGAATAATGTTTGGATTGCTCACTGAAAACTCACTCAAAATAACACAAGATCCACCTTCATGCTGTCATATGAAGAAATGATCACTGTTCACCAAAAAGAAGAAGAAAAGGTTGATTTTTGTCACATTACAGTGGAACTGGAGCATTGATATTAAGATAAATGAAAGTTGTGCAGACTAAAAGCGACAAACTACATAGTTGTACATGATTGAATCATTAATTAACAATCCAAGATGTCAGGGGTTAGGTTTGCAGTCGATTGACTTACTTGTACTTGTGTAGATATATGGGTAATTCCAGAAATTAGGGGTCTGAAAGTGTGACATTTTTCTGTCCCTGTTACATCTGACCTTTGTTATTTGACATGGATATATCACCAGAATTGATTTCAAACTGTTACATTTATTTGTTTGGCAAGTAATTTGCATTAATTTATCACTCTTGGAAATTAGAAGATGTGTTCTTAACTTACAAAATTATGTCAGATGTGACAAGGACACACACACAAAAATGGACCCTTAATTTGTGGAATTACCCATATGTAGGAAGATTTATGTGAGCTCTTAATGAGAGAAAGTTCTTGGTGGTAAGTTCATCCATGGAACTTGTGCATATTGAAAATAAACTTTTCCTTTTAAAATTTTCCTGTAAATTGGAAAAGTAGTCTCTGAAGGTTTCCTGTTTTGTGAAGTGTTCTGGACACTAAAACATTAAGTTAGAATCCAATCTCTGACACTGAATCAGTATCAAACAATAGTAAGATCTTGGACTTAAAAACATGAGAGACCAGTTTTGTACTGTTTTGATGTGGAAATATCCAAACTGCAAATGAAATTAGCAGATTATCGATCTATGGGTACATTCCCTATTGGCAAAGTCTAGGCGGTACACGCATTACTTTGATACATGTAGTTCCTAAACAAGGAAGCAGTTGACAGAGCTGTCACGAGATGGTCTCACGGCTATCAGCTATGTAATTTCAACAGCTTCGCTCCATACGAAAGTAGAGAATCTCTTTCACAAGACCTGCTTACTTTCGAGAGACCTGAGCTCTGTTTTAGAGATGTATTGGATTTGTTTTGAAGTGTGCTACAAACTTGACTGAGTTACATTTTTAGGAACTTAGCTCAAGGGAATTTCCAAAGGGAAGTCACTAAAATGGTGGAAACAAAGAGGAACACAATTGCTCATTGCTTGATTTTTTTTTTCTTCAAAAACAACGGCATCACAGTGAAAGTGACACTAAGCACCTCCATGTAAATATACTGCATGTATATAAAGTCACTTTTCAAGAAGCATGGCTTAATTATAAATTAGCAGACAACCAAACCTTCAAGATCATTTTGTGTATGAGACAACTACGTGGAACACATTATGGTGGGTCTCTGTTACAAACTTTTATAGAGGTCTTGAGGCATGCGCATGGTCCAGTTCTCATCCAAAGCTGGGGGCCGCCATTTTTGTCTCAAAAAACTTACCTCACATATTTAGGTAACCTCAGTCTATAGACTGCCACTGAAGAGATATCAACCATCTGTCTCATCTGTAGTTACTTGTTAACTTTAGGATTGGCCATTTCAACCTACAAACATGAATCACAGTTTCCGTATTGGAAGAGGAGAATAAGGAGCTGATATAGGAATATTGGCAGAGTTGCTCCTGCCCTGCTCTTTTTTTTGCACAAGAGACTTGACAGTCGCAAATACCATCACGTATTCTGCAGTGTACATGTACAGTAGATGTGACAGCAGCAAAGCTGGTTTCAGTCATGTGTTCTCACCTTGCAAATGTCACCGTCTATGCTCCAGCTGCCGCGTCTGTTGACCAGCTGGACACGCTTGTGTGCACCTTCTCCACCTGCGTCCTCCATAACCACACCCAGGACTGCTCCGTGGCCCATGTCCTATCGCAGTCGTACCATCCCCTGATGATCTGGGATGCCAGGGGCCCGGCTCCCAGGGAGGCAGAGAACACTTCCCTCGCTGGCCAAAGCAGCGTGGCGTACAAAGTTTTTAACCACTCGCTTCAAATTTGCGACTTGAAGAGCCCAGCCGAAGCTGATGACTTTGTGTACTCCGGTGCACAGACGGCATTGTTTGGTTTTGTTCTGCCCATCATCAAACTTTTGGGGATCCTATCCAACCTGTCTTTCTTCTTCACCTTGCTCAGGGTTCCGTCAATGCGAAACGTAACCAATTTCTATCTGTCTAATGTGGCCATTGCAGATTTGTTGGTTTTGGTCTCTGCTGCCACTTTACGTCAGTGTGAAGTCCTGACTACACACAATTCATTAGATAAATCTTATTTTGTCAACTCGCCCCGAGTTGTCTATAGTACACTTGTCTACTTACTAGGCGTGGGTACCATTTCATCTTTTGTCTTTGTTAGTTTGCTAAGTTATGACAGATATTTTGCCATTTGTCATCCACTGCAACACCATATTGTCAACTTGAAACAACGAGCAGTGAGAGCAGCGGTGTTCACTTGGCTGCTGTCATTGTCGATGAATGTGATCGTTTTCCGATTTCAGTATGAGGCCTTGAATGTACCACCAATCAAGTGTCTTATCTGGCCAAATGAAGAAAAGTATAAACATTTATCGAGTAATGTGAAGGTGTTTGTGAATAACGATGAAATGATTTTGACATGGTTGCAAGTGACTAATTATGTGCTCCTCTCTATATACAGCCTGTGTTTGGTTCTTACAGTAATTTTCAATGTTCGCCTTATAAAGCAACTGCACGCTCCAATTCGAGGTAACGTGCAGATCCAAGGCCCCTCACAAAATCAGCGAAGGGCAACGGTGATACTTGGCATCAACACAACCGTGGTGTTTTTGTGTTTTCTACCACAAATTGTTATTACCCTCATTTTGATATTATCTGGTAGTTCCAAAGAATTGCAAGTCTCACTAGCAGGAAGAGAGGATCTGCTTCTGATCGCTAACTGCCTCAGAATCATCAACTCTTCCACTAACTCCATCATATTCAACGCCGGTAGCGGAAATTATAGAAAGGCCTTCAAGCAAGCCTTCTGTTGCAGCAAGAGGCAGCAAGGACACAGGGTCAATATTGCTCTGCAAACTTTACCCAGAGCAGATGTTGATAACAGAATAAGTTAAAATTGTTTGTGTAACATTTCGTACGATAGTTCTTCCCACAACCTCGTGGGCGCGCCCCTTGGAGAAATATGTGCTACCACTGCAGGCTGAGCACAGCGGCCAAGTTCAACACACAGAATCCACAGACTTCTAGGACTTTGTGTGACCGTTAATGTGCAAAATGAGGGATTAGCACATGTAGACAGGAAGCCAGATCATGTTCATTGTTACATCAGTGGACAAAATCCAACACTGAAATAAAAAGAAAAAGTTTGTTTCACTGATGGTTTCACCCCTACCCTCTCCTCCATCTTTGAAATGGATTTTTAGATTGATGTCGTCCAACGACTCACTGGTCTAACTCAAGGCGCATCACAGGTCTAACTCAAGGAGCATCACAGGTCTAACTCAAGGACCATCACAGGTCT